TAGATCAGAGCTGGTCCCCCTAGAGGGGAAAGGCCCCATGTCCCATTCCGTGGCCCCTGAGCCAGCCAATCCCCCCATTATTCCCATGCCACTCGAACACCTCCCTGGCAGACAGCACGTCGCTGGGAAGGGCCGTACCAGGGTTGTCCTTGTCGATGTCAGAGTTGAGCTCCTGGCAGGCCACGCAGTAAAGTTTCCTCTGCTTGTCTTGGAGCAAGATGGTCTGTAAGGGAGAGACAGCCTGGTGTGGGACTTCAGGGCAGAGCAATGCAAGAGGGGGTTGTCCCAGGATGGGGGGGGCAGTGACACCAGAGCTGCTCCCCAGCTCTAACTCAAAGGCAAACTAGAACCACCCTCAGGCCTCTGATGAGGGAGAGGGAGCAAAAGGAGGGGAAGGAAAGAGAGCGGGTGAGGCCAGGAATTGTCGCTCAGAGGGCTGGGAGCCCCATTACATGGGAGGGACTAGACTGCATGGCCCTGGGGTGGAGCAGCTTCCCCTACAGCCTATCCTGCTCTGGGGCAGGAACACAATGTAGTAGGGTGGGTGGGTGGGTGGAATAGTCCACATGGGAAGGGGAGGATACCATGCTGTGGGGGTGGAGGGAACTCTCCCCCTCACCGCTGGGTGATGGAAGCTCCCACTCACACTGGGGACTGAGGTCCATTCAGCTCAGTATGCCTCCCTTTCCCCCCAATCAGATCCATGGGCCCACTTATCCTAGTATCCCACCCTTCCCACCTCCCAGATTAGACCAATGGGGCCACCCAGACCAGTATCCCTCCCCTCCCCCCCGTGGATCAGACCCACAGGCCCATCCATATGACAGGGCTGGCCCCAGCCTGCTCCCTACTGGATCCCAGGCTAGAAGAGATGGAGCTGGTCTAGGACACTCCTTGCAGAGCTAGTGATGGATAGCTGGGGGCCCCCACACTGCCCTCTGCTCCTGCCTGGAGCACAGTGTCCTCTATTAGGCTTCCCGTACAGGCCACGGGTCGTACCCCACACTCTTCGCAGCACTCCCCCAGCATGCGGTACCCCTTGAGCAGGTAGTTGCCCATCACTCTGCTGATCTTATCCTGCCGCTCCCTCCGTGCCTGGATCACCTTCAGCTCTGCCTCTGAAGGTGGCTCCCAGTTCCCATCATCGTTGCCTGAAGGGGGAGATGGGAAGTTGACAAAGCCATCGCACAGCATCCCTGCAAGCTGTCAGAGCAGGGACCCCATACCTGACACTGAGATGCAGTCACCTTTGGGATGGGGCCCAGGAGATGTTTGTACAGGGCTCCCTCACCCAGCACCATGCCAATCTGCAGTGATGCCAGCTGTGCCCATCTAGAAGGGACAGTGCCACTGCGCCCATGAGAGGCTGAGCTGGGCTGAAGCAGTTAAATAGGGTCTGCGTTGCCCCCTTCCCTCCGCTGCCAGATGCCACCAGCTCTAGCACTACTTAGGGAGCCAGCTCCCACCGCAACCAGCCCCCTGACAGCACAGTCCCTCCCCGCAGCCCCTACTAGAGCCCCTATGTCCCAAGCACCCTAACCCCATCGTCACCTCTTGCAGGGCTGCCCCTTCCTCTGCTTCCCCAGCCCCCACTCCTGCTCCCAGCTCAAGGCTCAGCTGCCCTTCCTGCTCCCCTCCCTAAATCCATCCCCTGCTCAGGGCACCCCCAAAGGGATCCTCTCCCCCTCCTGCCCCGCCCCCAGGCGGTACCTGCCGCGTTCAGGGCCATGCTGCTCGCTCGGGACGCCCTTGCTGCTGCGCCGCTTCCGTCCCAGCCCCTTCCCCCTCCGACCGGAAGCCCCTCCATGTAGGGCACCCGGACACAGTACCGCGACGGAAGTGACGTTGTGCGAGCCGGGAACAAGGAGCACCGGCCCGGAAGCAAGGCGCAGACCCCGCCTCTCTGGCCGGAGGGGACCCGCCTCCTGGCTTCCGTCCCACCCCTGCCGCGGGAGATCGGGTCCTGAGGCGGCCTCGCTCCTCCCCTCCCAGCCGCGGGAAATGCGAGCTCCAGGGACACCCCCACCCCGGGGCCTGCTGCCCTCACAGACCAACGGGAGCCCGGACGCCTGGGTTCCATCCCCCGTCTCCAGCCCCCCACCCCCCATAACGGCACGTCCAGGAGGCAACCTCACAGCCCCCGCGGCTCACCTGGCACCAGGGTGCAGGGACCACCAACCCCTACTCGAGCTGGCCCGGCTCCCCGCCGGTGTTGGTATCAGCCAGTTTCTAATCGCTGGTGTGACAAGCGGGGAGAGAGGAGCGCTCATTTAGTGATAACGAACTGAAACAAGACAAGGGACCCGAAGAAAAACAATTCTTTAATCGCCTCTACACCGATGCTAGGATCCTGGGTAACAAGAGGAATTGCAGTTTATTGAGCAATGAGTAATAATTTGCCCCGGTAGGTATTTCTGAAACCCGCTGAGATGATTTGCGTGATCGGAATGTGTGTATATATCTCCTCAATATATGTTCCATTCTATGCATCCGAAGAAGTGGGCTGTAGCCCACGAAAGCTTATGCTCTAATAAATTTGTTAGTCTCTAAGGTGCCACAAGTACTCCTGTTTTTTAAAAATCTCTGTATGTAACCTATTTAGAAAGGGTCAGGTGGATGACAGGGGAGCAGCACTCTCAAAAATGGCGTGATCTGCTCCTGAGTCACTGACAGCATGGAAGCAAGAGACCATGAATGCCCACAGATCAACATCGTAACTGATAAAGCACAAGGTGGGCCACTACTTGGCATCTTCTACAGACCACCATATTGCACCTGGAAATTTAGCCATTTCACTGCTCACCCCCCACTTCCTGATCATTAACTATATCAAACACTGACCTGGTGTGGAACCTTGTGGGCTCTGCTCTGAATCTTTCACCACGATGAAAGCAGACCATGTATTTAACGCTACCCATTGTTTCCTGTGTCCTAGCAAGTTTCCGGTAGATGGCAAAAGTTTCTCTCTCTCTCCCCTCCCCACTTCTTTCTACTTTCCTCACTCTTGGGAAGGACTCTGCTAGAGCCTTTGTGAGTTCAAATGAATGCTAGGAGCTGATTCTCCTTCACTGACATTTAGTTTGGAGACATGCTCCAAGAAGTCTAATACACAAGCCCAGCCTGACTTTCCTGGTCAGTTAGAGCTCTTCCTACCACCAGCGTTGAGGGCTTTGTTGATTGTGTTTCTTCCAAACAGTTTAGTGAGGAATGAAGTAAGATTCTCTGGAGCTTTTTTAAATAGGCACAAAATTTGTTACCATCCCATAGAGCAGCTGTTTATAAGGAGGTGCTCCTAAAAATATCTCATCTACTTCTTTCTTGTTAACTCTTGGATGTCTTGCTGACTTCTTGCTATCAAATTGGTTCCAGCACTGCATCTTCTGACACCTCAGTCCCTGGTAGCACCATATCTTTGTTACCACAGAAGAGCAGGTATCTCTCAGCATCCTCTGTGCAGAGGGCTGAGGGAAAGGAACATAGCATGTCAGCAATGTCCTTATCCTCCTTGACGGCTCCCACAGCAGTTTAGGTGGTTCATAGGGAGAACCTCCAGCCACTGCTGTGGAGTCACTGTCATGCCTTCACAATGCTGCTTGGTAACAAAAGTGTAATGAAGAAAACCAGCAAGGTTGGCAGTGTACTGTAGCAGGACTAGAAAGCTCCCCCACCTTGCCTGCCCCTTGCTTCCCAACACACAAGCTGGGCCTAGGGTTTTCACAGCCACCACTGGCACTTAGGCACCACATCCCCTTTGTAAGGCCATTTTATGATAGTCTAGTTCCACCTGCATAGCACCCGCCTAGTATCTCCTGCAGAGGTCCTTGCATTCAGGTCATCCCTTGGGCTGAGCCAAAGTGCTGCTTCTCGAGAGACAACCCATCTGGACTAAAAGACTCCAAGCAATGGGGAATCTTCCCTCCCCCTCTGCAGGTCAATTGTTCCACTGGGGGAATCCCCTCCCTGGGAAATACTTGCCCCTTATTGCCAGTGTTAATTTGTGTGGCATCAATTCCCAGCCCTGTTGGGCATTTGTCTGGGAGATTCCCACACCCTTGACTGTCACAAATCTCCCACTATAGGGACTGACAGACTGGGATCAAATCACCCCAGTTAACCTTGGCATCACTGAGTTAAATGGGCTGAGCTTCTCAAGGCACGTTTCCCCACCCTGCAAACCTCCTCATGGCTCTGTCCTGAGCCCTTTCCAATTTTTCAAATCTCTGGCCTGGATATGCTGTCCCATTGGCAGTCTCACCTATGCCATACAGAGGGGTAACACCACTCTCTCATGGGCACCCAAATCCCTTTGGCAGCTTTGAAACTCATCTACACAAAAGAGGAGATGGCCCTGCTCAAGAGCCAGGCTGGAGGTTGACACATATCATGGCTTGAGATTTACGTTCAACCAACAGACAGAGTGAGATTTTAGGAGGGCAGGGGAGTTTGTGCTGGGTCTGCCTGCTCCATGGGATGGCTCAGAGCTAAGGAAAGCTGTTGCATTGAAATGTTCTGACGTGTTTTACCGGCACCCCCCACCGTGGCAGTGCTGCAACATGAGGTTTTGGGCTAGTTGTCTGCTACGCTTCCCAGTGTTCCCACTGTGGGACAGGCCAGAAGCTGCTCATCCTGCTAAAGTTCAACCCCAAGCCCACCTTGCAAGATGCCTTTAGGAAACAGCAATGGCCTCTGAGCAGAGCTCCTCCAAACAGGTGGCAGATTTGATCATCCCCCAAGCCAGACTGGAAGAGCACAGCCAATGACTGTCATCTGTACCTTTGCAACGTGCATCGTGAGGACTAGACTGAGAAGGGGAGTGGTTCCGGAGAGATCGTTCAGAGATAATGTAGCCTTTGATGAGCTAAGGATCACTCCCTAGAAGTGTTACAATGCAGAAATGGGGGGTTTCTTCATCACCAGAGGAAGCTAGAGTGCTGGCAAGAGATACCAGAGAACTGGGCAAGAGACGGGAACCAGGATGGTTGGAAGCAGCACAGACCAGGATGGTTGGAAGCAGCACAGGTTAAAGGACAGAATAGAACAAGGGTGTACAGCCTAAGGCCAGAAGACACTATGGTGATCACTTGTCCGACCTGCCACATAGCACAGAACCTCACCCCTGACTCCTGCATCCAGTGTGCTTCTAAGCTAGCAGCCTTCTATGGAGTAGCCACACGCTGGAGATGCTGCCAGGGGAAGGCAATGTTAGTAGCACCTCATCTGGAGGCGTCTGGCTGTCTGGATTTTCTGGGAGCACCATCCCCATCCTTGGGAATCCTTTGGGCTTTACTTGCGAGTGTCTCGTTTGAGCGTGAACCAAGCTCAACCCTGGGAGAAGGGGAGGAAATGCGACTGCTAGGAAGATGAGTGCAGGGGAGTGAACTAGATGACCTTTTGAGGTCTCTTCCAGTCCTATGATTCTATGTGGGATGCTGCAAACACAAGGGCCCAGATCCAGCTTCTAAGACCCTGGTTCACAAGAGCCTCCCTCTGTACAGCTGGGCAGGTGTGGGAATGCCATTGCAGATAACAGGAGAGAAGGGACCGTACCCATCCCCCAGCCTGCCTCCCTGTATCACATGGGCTGGAGGTTCACCTGCAGCCATTCCTGCCCCTAGCCCAGATCTGTGCTGGAGCCAGAGCACAGCCTTTAGAGACATTTGGCCTGGATGTAGCGCCCCCAAGAGATGGAGCATTCCTCCCACTGTCCCAGGGGGAGCTGCCCCGCTGGGGAATCCCCCATCCTGACAAACATTTGCCCTTCATTGCTAGTCTGAATTGACCCAGGGTGGCTCCTGCCTGCTGAATCTCACTTGGCCTTTGTACGATTTGAGTCCTCCACTCTCTGGAGTATCCTCCCGGCAAAGCAGGGACCCTCATCCTGGACTCAGCACCTTGGCACAGATGAGAGCTAGATTTGCAGATGGCTGGGATCACACCAGGGCTTGGCTGCTCTCACCTGCAGGTCACTGGCACCGTGTTTACACTGGGCCTAAAAACTGGCTTCTAAACTAATTTACATCAAACTAGGGCAATTTAAACAAGCCCAAAAGGCTGTGCGGGGGCCGGTGTTGAGTTGCTGGATGCTTGATAGGCTGGGAGAGTTGGGCCAGGTGGCTATGAACCCTATTGCAGCATAGTCTGATGTGTGATACATTGTGGGTGCTAAGTGATGTGGCCCGTAAAGCAACAGTAGCAACATTAAATAGGTTCCCAGCTCTGTCCGGGGCACCTGGCTACAAGGCTGGGGATGGGTTCCCGTCTCTGTCCGGGGCACCTGGCTACGAGGCCAGAGGTGGGTTCCCAGTTCCGTACGGGGCAGAGTTCTGTGATGTTTAATAGGTTCTCACTCCATCCAAGTGATCTGGCTAGGAGGCTGGCAATGATGGATTCTCCTGTGTGTAGAAGGTCCTGCACTCCAAGCACCGCCATGCTTTAAGGCTGTGCCTGCCCCTCCTCCACCTCCTTGCCAGCCCCATCATCCTGGGGGCCCTCCCTGCCCTCCTTAAGGGGCCAGCAGGGCTGCCAGCCATGCAGGTGGGTGCTCTGGTGCTTGATGAAGTTGGAGCCATGGCTGAAGCTCTTACCACAGTGCTGGCAGTGGTAGGGGCGCTCGCCCGTGTGGGTGCGGCGGTGCTGGGCCAGGTGGGCGGCACGGGAGAAGGCCTTGCCACAGTCGGGGCACTGGTAGGGACGCTCGCCCGTGTGCACACGGTGGTGCTGCAGGAGGTCAGAGCTCAGCACGAAGCTGCGCCCGCAGTCGGTGCAGCGGTAGGGGCGCTCGCCCGTATGGATGCGCTGGTGGCGGATCAGGTTGGAGCTCAGGCTGAAGGCCTTGCCACACTGCTGGCACCGGTAGGGGCGCTCGCCGCGGTGCGTGCGTTGGTGCTGCAGCAGGTTGGAGCCATGGCAGAAGCTCTTGCCGCACTGGGCACAGCGGTAGGGGCGCTCCCCGGTGTGGGTGCGCTGGTGCTGCACCAGGTGGGAACTGCGGGAGAAGGCCTTGCCACAGTCGGTGCAGCGGAAAGGCTTCTCGCCTGTGTGGGTGCGGCGGTGTGTGGCCAGGTCGGAGCTGAGCCCGAAGCACTTGCCACAGTCGGTGCAGGGGTAGGGGCGCTCACCAGTGTGGGTGCGCTGGTGTCGTGCCAGGTGGGAACTGCGGGAGAAGGCCTTGCCGCAGGCTGGGCACTTGTAGGGGCGCTCGCCGGTGTGGGTGCGCTGGTGCCGGATCAGGTAGGAGCTCTCACTGAAGCTCTTGCCGCAGTCGCCGCAGTGGAAGGGGCGTTCGCCGGTGTGGATGCGCTGGTGCTGCGCCAGATTGGAGCGGCGGCTGAAGGCCTTGCCGCAGGCCGGGCAGCAGTAGGGGCGCTCGCCAGTGTGTGTGCGCTGGTGCCGGTGCAGGTTGGAGCTCTGGTTGAAGCTCTTGCCGCACTCGGTGCACTCGTACGGCTTCTCATCGAGCCGCAGCAGCCGGCGGGCCAGCCCAGGGCTCAGCTCGTAGCTGCGCCCCCCCTCGATGTAGCGGCACGGCTTCACACCCATCTGTGTCACCCGGTGCACAATGATGTCACCGAACTCCTCCAGCCCCTGCTCCAGGTCACCAGAGTCATCTGGCGCCTGTGCCCCAATGCCCGGGCTCTGGCCAGCCATGTCCCATGGGGAGCTGGGCGAGACGTCGCCCTTGGAGACCCCTGGCCACATCTTGTGGGATGGCACCATCTCAGGGCCTTCCTGGTCGGAATCCTCCTCCTCTGAGAGACAGGCGGCACTGTCATCTGCCGGAAGAGAGCAGAATGCAGGTGAGCGTTGCTCTGGGTATGGGAAGAAGAGCTCTGGGGTACGAGGGTGGGCAACAGGGCACAGATAATGCATGGCCAGAGATCAGGGCCCTGTCGCACTAAGCACTGCACAGCCTGCCCCTGCCCAAGATCACGGGAGCCTGTCGCACTGTGTGCAGCAGAGGCACAGACACGCACCTGACTGACATCGGGGGCCTGTCATGTTGGGTGCTGCACAGACGCACAATGAGAGAAAGACCTTGGCCCAAAGAGCTCACAATCTAAATAGACAGAAAGGTGCGAGGAGAAACAGAAGCATCAGGAGGGAAAGGGAATCGCTCAAGGTCAAAGCTGGGAATAGAACCCAGGAGTCCTGGCTCCTACCCCAGTGCCTGCCCACTAGACTCCATTCCCTCTTTTTTAAGCTCTATATTATGCTTCACTCACTGGCAGCTTCCGAATGGACTGACCCAGTCACTCACCTGCTCCAACCTCCATTTCCTCTGAGCCCTGTGGATCCGGGACACTGGACTCCTCCCCTGGTTCCATCTGCGTCTGGGTCAGGGGCCGTTAGCCCTGTTTGGAGCAAGCAAAGGGGTGAGATGAGATCCCTTCAGGGACTATCTGCATGATCTGAGCCCCAGCTCCTTCTCCCCAGAGGGGGCATTGGGGAAAACCCCTGGAGATTTATTAGAGTGAGGAAAACACCTGCTGCCCCCTACTGGATATTAAGGGATTTGTGAGTCTATCAATGGCCTCTCTTAAATGCCCAGCTCCTGGAAGCAGGAGATTGAGTGAAAGTTGCAACTTTTGTTCTTAAAAGCTGAACCCCGTACAGATCATTTTTAGGATGCTCATGATTTCTAAGCCAGCCTCATGAGTTTTTTAGTACTTGGTGGCTTGGTGATGCTGTTCGTTCACTGGAAACAAACCATAAATGCACAATGCCAGGTGTTACACATCCTCTTGCAAATCACTTTCAAAACACTAATGAAAAGCCAGCTCTCATACAGTGCCCATGATCTCAAAGCTCTTTATAAAGCGGGTCACTATTGTCCCCATTTTACAGAGGAGAAACTGGGACACAGAGAGGGGAAGGATTGCTCAAAGTCACCCAGCAAGTGAGCTGGGAATAAAACCCAGGAGTCTTGGCTCCTAGCCCCTCCTCCACTGTAACTGACTAGACCCCACTCCTCTCCCAGAACTGGGCTAGAACTCAGGAGTCCTGCCTCCTAACCCCCACTACTCTAACCTACTAGACTTCACGCCCAAACCAGAGCAGGGATAGAAACCAGGAGTAATGGCTCCCAGCCCCCAACTCCTCCTCTACCCACCAGATCCCACTCCCTTCCCAGACCCATGGATGGAACCCAGTCTCTACTACTCTAACCTCCTAGGTCCCACTCCCCTTCCAGAGCTGGGGACAGAAGCCAGGAATACCCATCGCTCCAGGTACTCTAGCCCAGGAACCAGGTGAGGGCACTCTGAAAACACAAGGAAGGAAGCCTGGGGAAAAATCAGCCCAGACCACTCAGGCTCTTGGACACTGTGACCAAAATCCCTGATAGAAAATCCCACTGAATGAAGGGAAATTGGGCCCCCAAACCTCTCTTGGTCCCTAGTGCCCTGGAGCATCAGCTTTCAAGTGGTAGATGGCGAAATCATGGTGAGAAGTCGCTTCTACCCACCTTATAGTAGATTGTTGTCTTCCAGGACACCATGCCCCACCCTAAGCGGCTGCACTGTAGACACGGGTGTGTGGGGGTATGTGTGCATGACAGAAAAGCTTTAGGAGGCTTTGATCATTGTCAGTGAGACAGAGGAGATTAGAACCCAAACACTAAATGGCTATTGAAATTAGTCATAAGGGCAGACTGGTCCAGTGGGCAGGCCACTGGACTGGAACTCCTAGGTTCTTGACTAACTTGGGGAGAGGAGTGGGGTCTAGTGGTTAGAGCAGGGGAGAGACTGGGAGTCAGGACTCCGGGTTCTATCTCAGCTCTGCCACTGACTTTGGGCAAGTCCCTTCCCCTCCCAATGCCCATTTTCCTTCCCACCTCTTGTCCATTTAAAATGATAGGCCCTGGGGCAAACTGAAAAACTGATCCTCCAGAACCTGCTGCGTGACACACAGCAAGAGACAATCCCTGCCCCAAAGAGCTCACAGTAAGTCCGTGCTTCTCGCAGCCCCCAGGCAGGCTCTGAAAGGCCAATCAGGGGTCCTGAGGTATTGCAAATGTTATTACAATCTCTCTCCCGCCACACTCCCTCCCCCACGTACCTTGACCCTTCAAGGTCAAATATTTTCCATCAACCTCTCAAAATAAACACTGCATTATATATCTACAGTTAGCATTGTTGTCAGTGATAGATGATTTTACTACACCTCTACCCCGATATAACGCGACCCGATATAACACGAATTCGGATATAACGTGGTAAAGCAGTGCTCCGGGGGGGGGGGCGGGGCTGCGCACTCCGGTGGATTAAAGCAAGTTCGATATAACGCGGTTTCACCTATAATGCGGTAAGATTTTTTGGCTCCCGAGGACAGCGTTATATCGAGGTAGAGGTGTATTAATTTGATATCAAAGCTGAGTGGGAAATCACAAAAAATGTTGATTTCAATTAAGGGGTGACTGACCTGGGAAGGTTGAAAAACACCGGTGTGTGTATACGAAAGGTGGGGTGAGAAACAAAGGCACCAAGAGGGGAAGGGACTTGACCAAGGTCAGTGGCAGAGCCAGGAATAGAAACCAGTCGGCCTGACTTTCAGCCACCCCCTTTCCCCTAACCACTAGACCCACTCCCCCCCTCAGCTGAGAAAGCAACCCAGGAATCCTGGCTCCCAACTCCCCTTGCTCTAACCACTAGACCCCACTCCTCTCCCAGAGCTGGGAATGGAGCCCAGAAATCCTGACTCCCAGACTACTGCCCTCTCCACTGGCCTGTGCTGCCCTTCATTAGATCTTTTGGGGTGCCAGCCCCCTCCCCATGTAATCAGTCCCTGTAAGTACCTGCTGTATGAGAAGACCTGTGCTAATGGGGGTGGTTTGGCCCAACTCCTGATTCACAGCAGGGTCCCTCACCCAGCTGCCCATGCCATCTCTGTGACAATGACCCTGCATGATGCACAACATCCCAATAACTCCCTTTCCAGAGACCCCATAGAATTAAATTGCCCTTGCACCCTCAGTACGACAGGAATTGACAAGGTGGGTGAGGTAATAGCTTTTATTGGACCAATTACTACTGGTGAGAGACACAAGCTTAAGGCCAGACCTGAAGAAGAGCTCTGTGTAAGCTCAAAAGCTTGTCTCTCAAAGTTGGTTCAATAAAAGATATTACCTCACCCACCTTGTCTCTCTAAATCCTGGGACCGACACAGCTACAACAACACTGCACACAGGAATTACCTTGACTATCCCCACAGGACTGGGCGCACATACAATCAGCTCCCAAAGGACTTTACAGGCTGTACCCGCTTTTTTGTTTGGAACATTGGAGGTAATTGTACACACATGGCACCCACTGAAATGCAGCTACCTTAGGGATGGGGATTGTTTATACAGGATCCCTCATCCGGAGCAGTGATGCAGCCACTGCTGGAGTGTGGCACAGAGGGTATTTACATAAGATCCCTCATCCAAAGCTGAGATGCAGCCACCTCTGGAGTGAGGTGCACAGGCTGTTCATACAGGGATCCCTCGCCTGGCACTAAGATACAACTGCCTCTGGGATGTGGCAGTTCATACAAAACTCTCTCATCCAGTGCTGAGATACACACGTCAGTGGGGTAAGGCACGGGGGCTGTTTACCCAGGCATCCCTCACCTGGTGCTAGGATGCAGCCTCCTCTGGGGTGGGGCACAGAGATTGTTCACACACAGATCCCTCACCCCAGTCCTGAGATGCAGTAAGACCTAATGGGTGTTGCCAGTCAAAGGCAGTGGGGGAGATGCCGGGCACTGGGGTAGGGCAGAGATGCCCCAGCACAGTGTGTGTGTGTGGGGGGGACTGGATCTATTCCGGGCCCTATGATCTGCAGCCAGGACTGGACTGGCTCTTTTCCCCAAGCCCCTCTGGGGCTGCCCCTTCTGGGCACTCACCTGGCTCTCCACAGGGCACGGGAGGAGGATGCAGGCAGAGGCTGGGGGGTCCTGCAGCAACAGCAGCTGGCTAAGAAGGGAGAGCGCAGCCTGGCCCCTTTGTGTGGTTTCCCCTGCAAGGCACCCTGGGAAATATCCAGGCTCTCGCAAGTCGCAAAGCACTCTGGGGAAGGTAGTTCCTATGGGGCGGGGACTCCAGAGGTGATGGTTGCTTGGCTCCAAGAAAGGTGGTTGCTATGGGTCAAGTCCTTTCCAGGAAGCAGTTGCTATGGGGTGGGGGAGAGGTGTTTTCTATTGGGGGGGTGCCTGCTGCAGGGATGGCAGTTTCTAGTGGTGAGGGAGGCAGCGAGGGTGGTGTCTATGGTGGGAGGGGCTTGGGGCACAGCTCCAGAGAAGGTGGTTTTTGTGTTTTGGGGGAAGTACTTTCTATTGTGGGGCAGCTCTGGGAGAGGTGGTTTCTATAGGGGGGCTTTGGGGAAGGTGGTTTCAATGTGGGGAGCAGGGCTCCCCCCTGCAGGATCAGCTCCCTATGGCTGTGCCTAAAGCCCTGCCACCACATCATGGCCCGATCCCCACTTGGCTTGTTGGTGGCAGAGATCCCTCAGCACTTGGCCCAGCAGCCAGTGTGTCTGCATGAATGGAAGAGCTGACCCCACTGCACTCTGCCCCACAGAGACCCCTTCTGGGGCAGGGCTGGTAATTAACACCCACCCAGAGATGCACAGAGCAGTTCCCCCTGCTCGGAGCAATTAGCTCAGTCTCCCTGTAGTCTCAACCAGAGTCACTGCATCAGTTACACTGCTCCAAGCAATCGGCTCAGGTTTTCTGCAGATGCAGCCAGTGTCATTGGATTGATTAGACCCAAAGCAATTCCCTCTCTCAGGCTCTCTACAGACTCTGTCCATGTCTAAACTAGTAATCTTACAGCAGCATAGCTGTACCGATGCAGCTGTGCTGCCGTAAGATCTCCCGTGTAGCTGCTCTATGCCGACAGGAGAGCTCTCCTCTCGACATAATTAAACAACCCCCACGGAGCCGCGGTAGCTATGTCGGCGCCGACATAGCACTGTCCACAGCGGCACTTCTGTCAGTGTAATTTATGTCAGTCAAAGGGATTTTTTTTTCCACACCCAAGTGACATAAGATATAGCGACAAAAGCGCTAGTGTAGACATAGCCTCAGGCAAGCCTCACGGCATTGGTTACACCTGGGCTTTCCCCCTCTTGGAGCGATTGGATGAGGCTCACTGCAGACTCAAGGAGGCATCGCTGCATCAGATTACATGTTCAAATTTTTCTCCCCAACCACAAGGGCTGGAAACTTTTTATTTGAAATGGATAGAGCCCTGCAAATCCAGAGATATCTGCAGACCATTTTTGCAGATTGGATACAAATTTTCTATCCGCACAGGACTCTATAAATGGAAGTTGAGACTCTGGTATAGTCATGAATCCAGACACTGGTGCCAGAACCTGGGCATGGGCCTATACTGCCTTAATCCAGCCCTGCTGGGTACAACCCGAGTTCCCAGTACTGCTCCAAACCGCAGCGCATTATGGATGATTTTGCACCATCGTCTGGGAGCCAAATGCACTCAATTCCCACAATCCTGCATGGGGCAGTACAGACTGGTTGGTAGCTTCTGGCTGGGATGACCTCTTGGCACCAGAGGGCAGCATAGTGGCCCCATGGGCATTGTGTGACAGGACTAGGGGAAAAGTCCACCATGTCTGCAGTATGACACTGCCCTTTGTTGAACTTAGACGCAATTCAACCTAACCCAAGGTTGACCCTGGGCTGGTGCAACTCATACCTCAATCTGCACACGCCTGTAAGGCGTGTCTGGAAGGAGGATGGGTGCAATCAGCACTGGCTAATCCGCTAGACATGACCGCAGGCTGTTACTCTTCTAGCTACCTGATAGCTCCTCAGCTTTCCTGCTACAGAGCTCAAGTTGTAAGGTGAGAAATTCCTGCTCTCCTATAAAGAGCTGTGTCATCTCCAGTGCACTGCCCACAGGGAGCCCGTCTCCATCCCTAACCCAGGCTGTGGTGACCGTTGTAGCCAGCAGGATCTTCACACATTTAATGGAGTGGGAGGAAGCAAGATTTGAACACACAGGAGGGACATGAGAGGCATCTCTGACCCAGGATAGGAAAATCACGGGGGGGGGGGGGGGGGCATAGTGCCCTCCTGAAATTACTTCCCCAGCCATCCTATGCATCTAGGGGATTAAACACTCAGCTCCCACTTGCACAAGTGAATGGTGCAGAGCCCATGCCTCTACCTCCAAGTGCCAGCACAAAATCTGAGCTCCACAACCTTCCTCTGCGTGGGGCAGCCCTCCCACATAATCTGACCCCTTTACGCTGCATCTCGTTCCCATGGGTATTGCCACAACGGAGCAGACCTGTGGGCCTATCTAGCCCAGTATCCCCTCTCTGCCAGCTGCTTCAGAAGAAGGTGCATGAATCCCCAGAGGAGGTAGCACTGGGATAATTGGTGACCTTCTGACCCCCTAAGCTAAGGGTCAGCTCAGGCTCTGAAACAGGCAGGCTTAGAGCCATTCACAAGCTCTTCTTTATTCTTCATTGTTTAATTCTAGTTATTCCCAATACCCCTATAAGCATCGGATCCCTTTTTAGAATCTACTCAGCTCTCGCCCTCAGTGACATTTTGTGGCAACAAGTTTCCCAGACTAAGTGTGCGGTGAGTGTATGAAGAAGTATTTCCTTTTGCCAATTTTCAGTTTCTCTACAACCCTTGTTCTTGTATCATGAATCTTGTATCCCACCTACCTTCTCCAGTGCGTCGTCTTTCACCAGGTCCCAGACTGTCTCCTCTCTAAAGAGTCTTTTCAATCTCTCTTAAGAAGAGATTTCCCCCTCCATTCTTGTCCCCCATCTCTAAAGCCAGTTGGATTCATACAGTTTGAGGCCAGAAGGGACCACTAGATCCTCAAGTCTATAACAGGCCAGAAAATCTCAGCCAGCGATTCCTGGATCAGGCACCTCCCTTCTACCTGAACTATAGCATATCCTTTAGAAAGACATCCACTCTTAAGGCTTAATGTATGAAATGATCAGAACTAAACACAGAATTTCAGAAGTGGGCAGCCCTCTCCTTTGGGAAGGATGGTCCAGTGGTTCAGGCAGCAGCTGGGGGCTCAGACCTATGTTCAATTTGCTGCTCCACCGCAGACTCACCTTGGGAAAGTTGCATAAAGCTCGTTCTGCCTCAGTTTCTTCCACTGTAACATGGGGACAATAGCACTGCCCTGCCTGCCAGATGTACCGATAACTTCATTAAAAGACAGTGAGATGCGCAGACACTATGGTAAGAGGGGCCTATTAGTACCTAAAATAGATGTACAAAGTGGTCTTAGTAATATCTTTAGTATTATTCTCCACTCTATTCTTCCCTACCATTTCCTCACAAACGGCTTATTTAATCTAATCTTCCCTCCCCACCCCTCTCTATGAGGCTATCACCCATTCCTCAGGCATTTGCAGCCTCCCATTATGGCTTGGCTCAGAGGCTAAGACGCGCTTTGAAATAAATATATAAAAATATATTCTTACTAGCTGAGAGCTCTTTAGGGCAGGGACTGTCTCTCACTATGGCTGTTGGAGCCTCCCGGAGTTACTCTAGTACAATTCCACTTCCTCAAGCCAGCTCCTGCATGACTGGATCGGGCCCCTGCACGGATTGAAGTGAAGAGCTTGGCCTCGAAGCATAAATCTCTACTGTTCAAGCTGAACAATGAGGTTGCAGCAGACACAAATGCTCTGGGCCCTGCTGGGGGTAGGAGATGAACTCATCGGGGGCTAAGGTTTTTTTCCTGAAAGAAAGAACAGCCAGGGCCCTCTGTTGGAAATTTTTATTTTGCTGGAAAAGCCGTGGTCAAAACTCCACAACAGATTCTAACAGATAAGCTTCTACGCAAGCACTAGCTGCTTTGGAAACACCTCAGCCACAGTCTAGTCTCAGAGGATGTGGGTTTGAACTGGGATTCAGATCAACTCCCAAGACAACAACAAATAAATAAAGAGGAGACTTGGGATTCTCCATCCACAACGCTGAGAAGAGAAAGGAAATAATGACGTGAACTCTGTGAGCAAGTTACCTGGAAGACAGTGAATCCCCACCCCAACCCATGCAGAACCTGAGCCCAGACAGGGCCAATGTGGAGTTAGGGGAAGAAAGGAACTATGCTTGCAAGTGTGGGGAAGTGCTCAAGGACTGAAAAATTAAGGAAAAAAAGATACAGTGGGTCACAACTTTACTGAAACACAAGAACCTCCATTAAAAATAAACACACTAGAGGCAGCCAATACCCGTCGCAGGCAGCGGGATGGTGGGGGAAGTAGGACAAACTTTCCCGTGTAATGGGAGCCTGAGGGTCCACCCGAGAATACGCTACCTGAAAGAAAGCACAATACAGTTTCAAAGGCTTATGTCAGAAGTAGCCACGGTGGCAAAAAGCCCAGAGATCTCAAGCCCACCCCAAGCCCTCGCACTGTCCACACACACAAGCCATGCTGGTTTAAAGTTAGCTTTAAACTGGTGCAAAGCCCTGGGTGGATGCTCCTATTCTGAAGTACTTTAAACCATACCATAACCAAGTCCATAACCAATTTACACTGAAATGAAATAAGCCTGGTTTAAAGCCCACCCACTTGTCTTTCTTGCACTAGTTTCTGTCAACCAGTTTAAAAATCACGCCTTAAGTGAAAATTGGTGCAACTTTCTAGTTTATATAGTGCTAAATCTCCATGGGAGTTAGCTCAACTTCACCGCAAGGTAGCTCAAAAACCAAAGGAGCACCTTGCCTAACACGAGACATGAAGTGTGGTCCAGTTGATCGGGAACTAGACTGAGAATAAGGAGACCAGTGCTCTCTTCACCTCTCTGGGTGAGGAGGAGCCTGTAGAACTCCTGGTTTCTATTCCCGGCTCTGCCATTGAGCTGCTGACACACCTGGGCCAAGTCTTTTCTCCTCTCTGCACCTCTGGACCCCCTCCCAACCTATTTAGACTGCAAGCTCTTCAGGGCAGGGACTCTCTTTGTCTGCGGAGCACTAAGAACAGTGGGACTTTGATCTTAATTGGGGCTTCTACGTGCTACCATAACACTAGGCTGACTGGGCCAAATTACTAACACTTTAGCTTTATAGACATTGACGAATCTCCACAACAGCCCCTGGGTGGTAAGATGACAATAGTGAAGTGACTCAGAGCTTGTTACGTAGAGACACTCTGGAAAGTGAAGATGAATTAACTAACCGTGTGAATGTTAAGTGGATTAAACTGCATTAAGTCCCTGTGTGGATGCTCTTGTTCAGAATTAAAATAGCCTTACTTTGGTTAGCTTAATTCACTTCCAAAGTTAATTAAACTAAACTGAACTGAGGCCACTGTAGTTCTGAATAAGAATGTCCACACAAGGATTTAATGCAGTTTAATTAATCCACTTTAAAAGCTAATTCACAATTTTCTCACGTGTCCCCATGTAGACAAACCCTTAGTTTGCTGTAGCTTAACCCTCACTACAGCCAACTAAGGACACTTCAATTCCGAATGAGAGTGTCCACATAGGGGTTTGATGTGCTTTTACTTCACACCTTCAGTTAATTAGTTTTAACTCCCCAAAGTGTTTCCTTGTAGACTAGACCTCAGAGTTAGACACAAGATTAGAACTCGGGCCTGCCTGCCTCCCAATGCTGCACTTCTTTCTCTAGTCTAGACCACACTGCCGCTGCCACAGGTTTCACCCGCAGAAGCCAATGGAGCTACATCTGCTTCTGACTGTGCAGCACTTAGTGCAAATATTCAGCAGCAGGTACAAGTTAGCCCAAGATGACTTTGAAGTCCCTGGAGTTTAATTTTAATGCTAAGTGAAGTCTGTTCTGTGCTCTCACTCTGGTTCCCATTCAGCAAAGCATGTGCTTACATCCATCCTCATTCAGCACAGCACATGCTTAAGTTCCACTGACTCACAGCATGAGCTCAGTTTTAAGCACGCGGTTCACTGTCTGGCTTAACTAGGGCCACTAGCTACTATCACGTATATTCTGCTGACAACAGGAGCCAATGGCATTTTGGGAGGCCCTTTGCTCTTGCAATGACTTGGCAGCCAGAGTGCTGAGTAGAAGGTTATCAAACAGAATGAAGGAGTTAAAGTTTTAGCTAATCACTGCTTTGGGGTTTCATTGCCTTCCAAGTGTCACTCCCCCCACCGCCTACCACAGTCTTGGACAATGCCCAGTTTTGCACATCCAACACATACTGACAGGTTACAGAGCTAGTGCATTAACAAACTGCCATTCACAGCCAAATTCCCACCACTCCACCTGTGGAATACTTTATGGGCTTTTACAAGACAGAGAGGTGAAGCTGGTATAAGAGCTCATGTCAGAGGCAAAATGTATTTGTTGATTCAGGCACTCCATTGGTTGAACACAGTTGTCCACATTAATGTGAGTTGTTTTGCTCTGCTGTACTCAAGATTCCTTCAAGCTAAAACAACGCAGCACGAACTATCTGCTCTTATCACTGTTAAAACCTGAGGGAACTGAATCAAAGGTATGTTTTTAGAAGGCTCTTGATATTCCAGAGCAGCATGTGCATTCTAGCAGTCTCACAAACTTGAAAGCCCATGTATGATGATGATTTATAAATGTAAAGCCAGATGGGACCATTAGTATATGTGCTGCCACTCCCATATAACACAGGTGAGAGAATGTCACTCTGTTCCCCAACTTTGAGCCCAGTACTTTGTTTGAGTAAAGCACTTTCCAGAAGACAGCCAGGCTGGACTGGAGGCTTCATGAAATGGAAAATACACCACTTCCCTTGGGAGTTTATTCCAATGGTTAAATCAACCTCGCTGTGTAAAACTTGTGCCTTATTTCTAATTTGACTTTGTCTGGATTTAACTCTCAGCCATTGGTTCTTGTTCTGACTGTCCCTGCTAGATGTAAAAGCCCATTAGTAGCCAGGATTTTCTCCACATGAAGACACTTATACACTGTAATCAAGTCACCTGTTGAGCAGGACCTGGTTTGGGGAGACATAAGGGATGGGACTAGCATGACAGAAAAGGCAGCAGAAAGCTCCCAGAATTTTCTTTCCGTTTGTGATTTCTGCCACTGCACCCAAATGTAGGGGTAAAGAGTGAAGGTTAAAAGAAGCCAGGAGCATGGGAGGGGCAGGGGAGACAGGAGAAGATGAGCAGGGCTTGGGAAACAGACCCCTAAAACCTGCAACCCCAAGCCAGGAGTTTGGAGCAGGGCAAAAGGTCAGGCCACAGAGGCGGATTGCATAGCTATGCACCTGTGGGAAGAACAACCACCAGTGTGTCCATGGCATTGGAAGGGCCCTGGACAGCACCGAGTGTCAGCAGAGTATATGAAGGCTGTGGTGGCAATTGGGGCGAGAGATGGTTCAGAGTTACACAAAGGGGAATTAGTCAGGAGTAACAGGATGGAGTTAAAGGAAATAGCAGGTGAAAAACTGAGGGATAATATCCCAAGAGAAGCAGGAATCCAGGTGTTTGAGTTACTTGGAACTGGACAAGACAAAAACCCTGAGAAAACTCCTGAGTTACAGTTGGTGCCAGGGTGAACTTGCTTCATGTTTTAAAGCTTTGCTTTGCAACCACAAGGCCTAACAACTTAAGTAAGCAGATTCTCACACAATCACGTGACTGCTGGGGCTTTAACACCAACTATTGTGAGACTTGTGACACAGTTGTGAGAGTCGGCAATACAGAAGTTCCTGCCCATGTGAAATGTACTTTTAAGATTAAAGCGGACAGACTTTTTAAAAATTGGAGTTTACTCTTGTTGCATTTCACTGAAACAATGAAAACAGACTGGTTAACTAGACTTTGTTTAGTCTGTATCTACTGGCTCTCAGATGCTGCAAACAACGTAGGGAAAGATTTATTTCATAAATCTTACTGGAATTTTAAAATAAACATCTCTACTGACCCTAGCATTTTACAGGTTTTCATGCCACAAAGGACCTCCTGTAGTCAGGCCTAATTGGGCCTCCGGTACAACAGGCCAGAGAATTTCATCCTATCATGCCTGGATCATGTTCAATAAATTGCAGTTGAGCTGAAGTGTGGCTTTTAGAAAGATTTATAACCCTGATTTAAAGATTTCAAGCAATGGAGAATTGCAAAGGCTTGTTTTAAAATTAAGAAGTGTTGGGGCCAAATCTGACTGACACTGTAGTTTCAAATGTTGTTCAGGGACAGAAAAAAGAAAAAAAAAGTCTATTTCCCCTAAGTGCTATTTTATAAGGCCCTTAAACAGGAAGATCAAAATCTCTGCCAGTTTTAGAGTATGCTGAAAGGTTAGCAGCATTTCCATGGTAGAAATAAGTATGCAAAAAATAATTCTATCCTCTTCTCAAGAATAAATTGCTGGGTGATTTCAAGGCCCATAAAAAAAGGCACATAGACAACACTTCAAATCCAGCATAGAGATATGGATCTTGTCAGCTTTCCAACAGGGGAAACAGTGACATATTCCTTACTGACCTAGAGCCATTCTAGTAAGAGACTGATAAATATAGCTTTAAATCTGGAGTTGCTTTAAAGTCCAGATTTAGACTGTGTGCTAAAATAGCAAAGCAAGGTTGACACTGACCCCATACCAACTGTCTGAGTGCATACTGCCCATCTCAAATCATCTTCATTCAAAAACATGATGAATGAGTTAGGACAGGACAAAAGAGCTGGGCCCACTCAACACTGGTGATAGGGATTATTCTAAAAGACTCCATGCCCATCCCATGTGAATGCACACTTGTTCTGGCTGCTTTATGGTATAGGCAGTTCACTGAAGTGCAAGTACTCCATTAATGTGGTAAAGGTGTCAGGCTTTTACAAGCAACACTAACAATATGCTTTCACTGGGCTAATGTTGGTAGATCACAGACAGATGCTAGTGGAAACCCTGGTAAATCTTACTGTGCATCAAGCCCAATTTATACTCCTGCAGCACATACGTCCTGCCACCCACAAAGCTCTCACCTCCGACTCAAAACGCAGAGTACCGCGCCCTGTCCGCGTATGACTCCCGCTCGAACCGCTGAACGTCGTAGAGGGAGGCCCGAGCGACCGACGAGACTGGAGACAGCTGACAACGTTCGTAAGCGTACGCCTCTCCGACGGTGGTGGCCGCGGTTGCCGTGCGACGCAGGGGGCTTCTATCCCGGGTGTAATAGGTGGAGGACGCGGCTGCCGCAGCAGCAGTTGCAGCTGCAGCGACTGCTGCTGCTGCTCCCGGGGTTGGCAGCAGCGCTCTATCGTAAGGGTCTAGGGTAGTAGTGAGGCGATTGGCCATGGCTGTGGTGGCGGCCATGGCTGTGGTGGCGGCCATGGCTGTGGTTTGTACTTGGGAGTATTGCGCATACTGCGAATACTGGGCCATTGTTTGCTCTGCATAGGCGTCGTATGCAGATGCCGTAGCATAGGGCCTCACGCGATATCTTTTGTAGTAGTCGACCATTGCTCCATACCCATCATCGTAATACATGGTCTCCCCATAGCCCGCGGGGTAGGGAGTGCGCACCGCTCCGTACTGCTCATTATAGGTTTCGGTAAAGTCAGGCACTTGCCCCGTGCGATCTACCGGACACTCTTTAGACCAGTGCCCTTCTTTCCCGCACCGATAGCAGCCGCTCTTGTCTCCCATCCCAGGTATCGTCCGAAGCCGACTGGTGGACAACTGCACGCGCATCCGCTTGCCTTTAAGAAACAGACGCAAGAATGGTTGCTATAATAAACTGACGCCACATGGTAAACCGCAAGATTTGCAGTGTGCAAGAACCAAGTAACTCAACCATCTCGTTCCCTCAGCAGCCAATCAAAACCTAGCCTTTCCACAACCTTCCGCAGCACTCACAATGGGAAGGAATCCCGATTGGCCGAGGTTAATGGTTTTACAGTAAGAATCATGCCATGAATAAAAAGCAAACCTCTCCTGAAAAGTAACACTTGAGTGGCATTAAGGCCTGTTTCAGGAAGATACTTAGGCCCTGATCCAGATAGCTTCTTGACAGATGTGAACCTTTAGCCCTGTGAGGCTATTCATGTGCTTAAAGTTACACATTTCCGTAGTTCCTATCTTGATCCGGACCCAAGTCTGCTCCAAGACCGGAATGACAACTCCTTCCTCACACTGGTAAGCAGCTACTTATCTATCTAGGTACCTATATGACCCCTGTAGGGTCTGAGCGCTTCACAAGCATTAGCATCTTCACACCACCACTGTAAGGTAGGGAAGTGGTGTCATCATTGTATAGGGACTGAGGCACAGGGTACATGAAGTGACTTTCCCAGGGTCACATGAGGAGTCTATGGCAGAGCCAGGAATTGAACCCAAGGCTCCCAAGTCCCAAGCCAGAGGCCTATTAGGCCATCCTTGCTACCCTGGGGAAATCACTGGGTCTTCTCTCATGCGTAAGTGCTCCCCAAGGTGACTATGCAATTCATAGCTTGGCTCTAGACAATTCTTTAATCCAGTCTCTGCCTTTTGAGATAGGGAGGTAACTATAGGGGATATCAGGCTTAAGAGTGGGTTTCCAGAACCTTAAGTTAGCTTTCACATACTCTTGAGAGTACTCCTTCCCTCACCCCCATAGAGTTTACAAGGACAAGTGGCCTATTACTGTAACTCATGCGGTAGCTCACTCTTTCTAGGCCTGTATGCTACAGCTTCGGCTGTGCAGAACCTCAGTTCTATGCAATGCGCTTTCAGTTAGTCAAGCCAATTGTCGCTTGTATGGAGCTTTTCTATTTGGAGAGGCTGCACTCCTGAACCCTTCCTAGCATCGTCAGGGTCCAACAAGAGGAAACCCATGCAACAGAGAAAACTGAACAATACTATTATCTCTACACTCAACTGTCCTAGTTCAGCAGCCAGACCCCACAAGCACAAAACTCAGTTGAGTCAGCAGCTGCGTTCTGCACCCAGGAGGTTGGGATTTTCAACATGCTCAGTTCCTAGCTAAAGGAGAAGGCAGCTGGGAGTCTAACTCCTCTGAGCTCCTTTGAAAATCCCAGTCAACATGGCTAAACAATTGGGCTCAAAGTCCAACTTCTCCAAGAGGTAATATCAGACAGAGGAGTGGGGCAAAAGCCACCTGCTCAGCTCCCCCGAGGTGGATTGGAATAATGGTAGCCAAGAGCAGCATGCAGTGTTGAGACCAGCAAGTTGTATCAGAAGAAATAAAACCCTCTGAAAGTGAACAAGGATAGGGTAATCATGATAACACTACTTGCAACACAGTCCCAATGGCTTTATGGGAGACTGGATTCAGAGTAAGAGATACACAAGGCAAAGAGCGTGACAGCAATTGGGGAAGGTCAAGAACCGCAGCCTGGTAGGGAGGAATGGATTCTGATCCAGGTGCAGTCGTATGCCATCTGGCCTCCGACTTAGCTTACAGCTCAGATCAGCTGTTTGAAGACAAAGCTACTCTTACAGGTTAAATGAACTAAGAATTAAAAGCCCTCTCCTCTACTGCTGGAGAACTCATCATAAGAGCTATATGTTCTCCTTTGAATTTTCAGTTGTGGGGCAGTTAAATCTCAATGTGGATTTTTGTCTGGATGGCCAGTCATAGAACACCCAGAAAAAGCAGCATCTGGACACCTTGTGGCCACTTAACCATTGAGGAATGTAAAAAAGATTTTCAAAAAGAAACATTTGACTAACTACACTCCAGCAATTTTAAGAAGCTGAACTACCATCATAGTGACAAGGAAGCACTATGGGTCTAGTGGGCAGACTGGCAATCAGGAGACCTGAGCTCTGTTCCCAGCTCTTCTACTGACCGGCTGGGTGACCCCAGGCAAGTCCCTTCCTCCTTTTCCACCTTTTGGCTATTCAGGGCAGACACTGTGACTCGCAATGTTTGTACAATGTCTAGCAAAATATGGCCATGATCTGAATAGGGATCTCTATGTGCTACTGTAATAGAAATAACTGTGGTGGTCTTTTTAATTTCTAAAGATAGAGTGTAGTAGGCTGAGCAGAGCTGGCCATCTAGCAGGGAAAGTGGGTCATATCATGAAATCATGACTGACGAGAAGCTATCCATTTGGAGAAGACAACGTGAGAATGTCACCAACTCATCTCTGGCTCCTCAGAGACTGTTTTTGAGAAAGGGGACATTTATCTTCCTAATACCATGCTGCCAAAATTAGCTTCTCGGATTATGTGGATTTCTATCTGACAGAGAAATCAAGTATATTCTAATGTGTAGAGCAGAGCCATCGAACAGTACCCAGCACAACCCCAACTGGGTCCTTGGGCACTATCACAATATGAAGTTACTACTAATGGCATCTGTCCCATGAATCAAGGGGCCTGGGTAGTTTAACAATGTCTAACTCTTCAATGGAGCTTTCTATCTGTTACTTCACCTCATTTGTAAGTAACAGTATTCCTATTATTCAGATGGAGAAAGTAGCACAGAAAGGAGAAGGGACTTGCCCCAGGTCACGCAGCTGAGCTGGGAATAGAACCCAGGTGTCCTGGCTCCCAGCACAGTGTCCTAGTAGTGGGCCACTCTAACAGCCCGAATGGATCTGCCCAAGAACTTGAATGAAAAAGGTTCTGGTGGCCCGATATCCACATCAGTATATACTGGCTGCTAGATTCTGGTGCATCTAGAGAAGGGGTTCTCAATCTGGGGATAGCCAACAGGTGTCAGGGAGTCACAGCCATACTGCCATCCCACATTATTGACTGGGAGGAGTGTTCTGATCTGGAAGAGATTGAGAACTACTCCTCCAGGACACTTGGAAGAACACACTATAGTACCAATTGGACACCGACCACCTCTTTCAGGTAACATGCTTGGTGCTAAGCTACAATACCTCTTACCAACAGACCAAGCCTCCAACATATTAAGCCTGAAAAGGTGATAAGATTTACTGCTTAAGTTCCTACGAGTGTATTTGCATGGGGTGGTGGAGAGAATTGTGTAAGTGAGGAATTCACACAGGAAAGTCTCTAACCGCTGCACCAGCAGAGGCTAAATACAGACATTCCAGGGGACACTTATGAAATTGCAGAGAAATTCAAACCTACCAAGCATAGATAAGTGCCCACCCTCTTCCTTTGCTCATGCAAGTGGGTGACTAAGTGGGATGCTGTGCTACCCAGTGGGTGCAAAAGGATTAACACTGCTCCTGGAACAGTGGAGGAGACAGGAGGTGTGTGTGTGTGTGACCTTGCTGTCTGGGTAGAACAATAAGAGTCATTAAAGAATTGGCTGAAACTGACCCAAATCAAGAGGGCCCAGCAAGACAATGATTCCCCAACAACTGAAGAACCATCACCTAACAGCAGGAAACCCCTGCAGGAGCAACATGTGAAGGGAGCTGGAGAACAAGATGCCAGGGGACTGGAATAAGGGCTGCCCTTTTGGAGCTCTAAAGGTCTGTCCTGAGGGGAGGGAGAGGAATGGAATCCATTGCAGCTTGGCTGGCTCATCATGGCATTGGCTCGGCCAGGATGGACTATAGCTTAACTTCTGCATCACTTTGCTGATCCAAGAATTTTCAGATTCTGTAGCCAGATGCAGTGGAGTTTTCTTCTAGTAAGTGGTGTTGAGAATCAGCACTATGGGCAATTCTGCTTTACGTGTTTATTGCTCTTTCGGTATTGCTAGGCACAAGCAAAGTCTGGCTCACCCCAAATCATGAGATGGTTTAGAAAGAATCATGCAATTTGAAATCTAATACATTTTGGGTTCCTTTTACCAGTCTTCTGGTTGGAGCCTTTAGGATTCAAATTGTGAAGCTTTTCTCTGTCACTAGGAGGGCTACAATGGGATGGGGGACCCTGGTCTTGGAGGACACCCATAGGCTGGTGGGCTTGACAGCAGCAGGTATTCTTCTGCCTGAGCCTGCTGGCCTTGGTGTGGAATGCTTCCCCTCTTACAAGAACGTGGTGGTTCTGTCCCCGGCAGTCTGGACAATGCCACTTTGCCTGCCGACAGCCTGTGCTCATGGGTAGAAGCCCTTGAACACTCCAATGGAGCTGCAGAAGATAGCCCTGGGTGAACTGCTGGCCAGGCCAGCTGTGGGCTGCAGCACTAGGAAGAAGGGGCAATTGCTTTGTGAAGTTACTGGCAGCTTGTCAGGGAAGTAGGCAGCCAGCTAGAGACTTTTAGCAGTACACAAGAGAGGCCTTCCTTCCAGAAAAGAGGCAGGACACCACAGGCCACGTGGGGGAAAGAGGACAGCAAAGAAAAACTCTTTCATAGAAATAATAGAAATGTAGGACTCAAAAGGACATTGACAGGACATCTACTCCAGCCCCCTGCACTGAAGCAGGACTAAGTATCACCTCACCATCCCTGATAGGTGTGCCCCACATCTGTTCTTAAAAACCTCCAATGATAGAGGTTCCACAATGTCCCTAGGTAATTTGTTCCAGTGCTTAACTACCCTGAAAATTAGGAAGTTTTTCCTAATGTCTACAAAGTAAATACCCCCTATTGCAATTAATAGCCATGGAAAGGCCTGAAGAAGCTGGAGGTAGATGAGCTGAGGATATGTGCCTCAAACAGCCTCTTAAAACACCAGGAGGGGTGTGTGAAATACTGGTTTTTCATTGACACAAAAGCCAAGCTGTTTGATCATAGACAGAAGCAGCCATGCATGTACCAGGAAGGCCATGCAAATGTCCCTTGACTCCATGGCACTTACTATGCCACAGGTGTCTCTTTCAGACCCATCTTCGACCAGCCCAATAAATCCAGACCAAATTATGCACCAAAGACATTCTACTCTGAAGCAAGAAAGAGCAAGCACCATCCTTTGTCAAGTCACAATGGAGGACAGTGCAAAAATCAAGGAAAGTTACATGATATTTTCCAAATAAATGCTATTCCTCCCACCACCACTTCCACTCCACAAAGGCTACCCACTTACCAACCCCGCTCCACAAAATATTTCCTTGAGGAGCTTCAAGTTCTAATGAGAACTCACTGATGTCATACCTGACACTGTGCAGAACAAGACCGCCCTTTTGGAAAACTCACATTAAACTTGAAAATCTCCAAAGCAGCTGCTAGGAGGTGGCATTGAGAAGATGCTTCTGCTTTTTGAAGGACTTTGCTGTTATTTTAAAAACCTCACTCATAAACCCTCCCCTAACTACTACCTTACCCGAGAGAGAAGGCTACCAGCATAATTCCACCCCAGAATTAGAATAACGTCAGATAGCTCAAGCCAAGGACTCTGGCTGGGCTAAAAACAGCTTTACAAAACCCCAGAGGAAACATTTCTACTACATTTTAGTGGAAAGTGTGTTTGGATTTGACCATCATAGATTAAGGCCTGAAGGGACCATTCTGACCACCAAGCCTGACCTCCTGCCTAACACAGGCCAGAGAACTTCACCCAGTCATCCCTGCATCCAGCCCAGAGGTTCTGTTTGAGCTCTAGCATAACTTTTAGAAAGACATCCAGTCTTGATTTAAAGACTTAAAATTCAAGGTCCAATAGTTTGCTCTTCCACCTCAAGGGCTTCTCCAGCATTTGAACTCAGAATCTCTGGTACTGTCCATAACAGCATAACTCTAGGCCAGCCATTCCTCTCAGATGGGCCTGCTCCTGTCCCATTTAAGCCAATATTTTGGTCTTGATTTCAGTGATCAGGCCAGCATCTGTAGCACCAACACAGGCTAATCCATGAGTTCTCGCAACAAGTTTTTTGGTGGCCTCAGAATGCGGTCACCAACTCTCACTGGTGGCCACACTGACCCTTTTTTCCTAAAATACTTAATTAACTTTAGGAAAAGCAATTAAATATGCACAGATACACATCCAAATCACTGTAATGTACATTTGTAGGGTTTTTTGGATTGGAGCCCGCTGCCATGCGGCCGGAGCTGTGGGTCAGTGCCCACCGTTAGTGCCTGCTGCCGCATGGCCAGAGCCCAGAGCTGGGTGCCAGAGCCCAGGAGTCAGCACTCGCTGCTGTGCGGCCAGGGATCTGCAGCCGGGGCCAGCTCCCACCACCGTGTGGCTTGAGTCTGGAAATAGAGCTGTGGGTCAGCACCTGGTGCCGTATAGCTGGGGCAGGAGATCAGCACCAGGGGCTAGGGCCGCATGGCTGGAGCCTGGGGCCAGCGCCCGCCACCGCAGGGCCAGAACTGGGATTGAGAGGCTGACAGAAGCTCCACGGCCAGAGCTGGGAGCCAGTGCCTGCTGCCACGCAGCTGGAGGCCAGGCAGCATGGCCAGAGCTGGGGGGGAGGGGGGAGGGAGACAGTACCCGCTGCCCTGCGGTTGGAGCCCGGGGCCACATAGCCAGGCTCCTGAAGTTCCGCCACTGGAGCCTGCCACACAAACTTCTTCCCCCCAAGGTGGGTCAAGAACTCACCTTGCTCCTGCAGCGTTGTGCCCCATCTCTCTCCAGAAGCGGTGCAGGGCCAGAAGCAACAAGGAGGGAGGGGGAGGGGCCGATGCTTTGCGCCCCCCTCCCCATCAGTAGCATAGCTAGGGGCGGAGCGGGGCAGCGGCCACTCTCCCACTGAGCACAAGTGGCGCCTTTTAAATTTCTTGGCGCCTTTTAATTTTTAACTCACCCGGCGGCGTTCTGGGTCTTCAGCAGCACTTCGGCAGTGGGCCCTTCACTAGCTCCGGGTGTCTTCGGCAGCACTGAAGGACCCACTGCCGAAATGCCGCCGAAGACCCGCGGCGCAAGTGAAGGTCCCGCCACCGAGGTGCTACCGAAGACCCGGAGCACTGCCCCGTCAGTAAAAGCGCTGCCAGGTGAGTAAAAGAACCGCAGCGGGTGGCGCCTTTTTTGGGGATCGCTCCCCCTGTTCCCTCTACCTTGCTACGCCACTGGGCCCCCATTACCATCCAGGAGGCTGTCGTGGCCACACAAAAAGCCCCTGGTGGTCACATTTGAGAAACATTGGGCTAGTCTATTTTCATTGTCCAAAAGCAAACAGAATGAATACTGGTAGTAAAGGAGACTGATGTGCCTTGTATCTTACTAACCATAGGATTGCTGGGCACAAGGGGAGTAAATACAACCTTGAAATGTGGTTTTTAACCCTATGGTTCCACATGGAGGTGCTGATTCCACCAGTAAGAGAAGCAGGACAATGGCGGAGCTCATTCCATGTGTTGAGGCAGTTACATTTCACATATGCAAGCGTTTAATGTGAGGGAAAACTGACAACTCATGGGGAAAGGTGAGATTTTTCTGGTAATAATTCAATTAGCAAGACTGGGGATCAAGAAAGACAATCCCCTCACCCCAAGCAAATCACTTCCATCTTTCTCCTCTTGTCCTCAGAGGTTAGATTTGGTCCCACTTCCCTTGCTACCCAAACTCCTTCAGCCCCACTGCACACTCCTACAACTTTGTTGTAGCGATGCTGGAGCCAAGTTTCTCCAGTCGCTGGCCTCAGAAATCAAGAGCTGAATGAGGTAAAGTTCAGAGCCTACCAGGGGAAGCAAGGACTGACACACACACACAAAGCCTCCCCCTTCAGGAGAGAAGGATCCTGCTCAGCATGTTTGGCTCTTCCTGTTTCCCTGGAACAGCTACAGGGATGGTAGGGAAGGCAGGTTCAACTACTCACTTCCTCCAGGTTCCACTGCCAGTGACCAAGCTGAGGAAGGGAAGACCCATAAGACCCATAGGACTATGCTGACTTCAGTTGGGGCTGCTTTACAGGTTTATGGTGGTGCACAGAAGAAACTCCCCATTCAAAACCCACAAAGCCACCCGCATTGTCCTCCTTTAGACTATCCTCTGCTGTGATGCCTACAAGACATAAGAATGGTTAAGAGGCTGCCACGCTGGGGCAGCTGCTTGTTTCACTGTTACCTTGTGTTCTCCACATCTCGGTACTGTATCCTCCTGCTATCTCTTGTCTTAGACCGTAAGCTTTTTGGGGCAGGGACTGTCTTGCTATGCATTTGCACAGCGCCTAGCACAATGGGGCTGAAGCCTCCAGGCATACTACTGCAATGCTCTGTAACTGAGCAGGAAACTTAAGGCCCCACATAACTGGATAATGCCACTTTATAAGATACATTAACTCCTCAGACGACACTGAGTCCGGCATTGCCACCTTGCCCAACATTTCCATCTTCTTTCAGCAATGTGAGAAACACAAGACAGGAGGGAAACGGAGGGAGGGGGGGAGTGAGACCCTCCCAGAACAGGGGATGGAACAAGAGACAGGGTGTCTCCCATCCGCTCCCCGCACCTCACAGGAGTCTCCTATCCTCCCACTCCTGTAGATTTCTCATCTCCTCCCCCGCCAACCACACAGGGGGCTGGTACTACAGTGAAATCTAGGACGAGCAGCCCAAACATTCTACAAGATGTAAGCAACTCAGGGTAGAAGAAACAAATGCAAAGTCCTCTGAGGAATAATGGAGTTAGCTTGGTTGAACAGTGCACAGACTCAAACAAGTCTTTCGTGGACTCTCTAATACAGAATCTGGCTCGCACAGTTACCTTGTAACACTTAACGTCAGGAGTGAGAGCTCACATCTCGAGCAGACCCTCCCCATACCTTGGCTTCACACTCAGAGATACAGCCTCGCCATCCTGCATTCCCACCTGACCTGCTCTTCTGGACAGAACCTGGCGCTACCTAGTCCTAGTGAAGGCTGCACTTTCCCTGGTTCATGTTTCACCTTGGAACTCTGTGTTGTCTAGGCCCCTGATGGCCTCCACCGCATCCTCAGCCCGCTCCATATGCACAAAGGCATAGTCCTTCACTATGTCGCACTCGATTACCGGGCCATACTCTTCAAACTTGGCCCGCAGCTCCAGGTTAGTGCAGGTGGTGCTGATGTTGCCCACATGCAGCTTGGTGGAGGCCTTGCTCTTGTTCTTGCTGGCTTCCACGTTGATGCAGACACCATGCAGCTTGTGGTGATGCAGGTTACGGATGGCATCTTCGGCCGCTGTCTTGTCTTCGATGTGCACAAAGCCATAGTTTTTGATGATGTCACATTCCAGCACCTTCCCATACTGCTCAAAGAGTGACCGGATCTCTTGCTCCGTTGCCTCCCGGGGCAGATTCCCAATGAAGAGTTTCACCATCTCAACAGAGCCTGTGGGTGGAATAGTTGAAGATGAGGCACTAGCACAAGTAAGAGTTTGACTTAGTTTCCAGTGTCCCTTGCCAAAAGACATCAGCTGGGGATAAGGCAACACAGTGCTGAAAGACTTGTTTTTAAAGGCAAAGAGATTTAATTTGTTTAACAGAAGCCTCCTGTTTTCAAATATCAGCTCTCAAGTTATATTGTCAGACTTAAGAGGACCACTTTTTATTCAGCTAGTTATTCTTTAATTGTAACTAAAGATAAAGTAATCTGCAATCATTGAGTGGTTATTCCCAGGACTCTAGCCCAGTTCTGGGCAGGGGTAAGGTCTAGCGGGTCGGGGGTCCAGTCGTTAAAACGGGGGGTGGGAGGGAGGCTGGGCGTCAGGCCTTCTGAATTCTAGCCCAGCTCTGGGAGGGGATGGGGTCTAGTGGTTAAAATAGATGAAAGGGGGCTGGGAGCCAGGACTCCGGGGTTCTTTCCCAATTCTGGGAGGGGGTGGTCTACTGGTGCGGGATAGGCCTGGGCGCCAGGACCCCTGGGTTCTATCCCTGCCCAGTCCCATTTGGGGGGGGGAAGTGGGAGACTGAGGCCCGGGTCTCTCACCACCAACAACAGCTCTTCCTCAGGCCACGGTCTTGTCTCGATGACGATAACAAAATGGCGGAGCCTCGTACCCGCTCCGCCCTGCCATTGACCTCGTCTGCCCCCGCCCCATTCTCCCAACGCCACGCTCCTATTGGTTTCCGGTCGCTATCAGCGAGCCGTTATTGGACAAGTAGAAGTTTGCGTCACAACAATGAGTTGTGGGGACGACCGGCCGTCTGCACCGTGGGCATCCCAGCCAATGGCAGTCCGATAGGGGCGGGTTCCGGTCACATGAGGGGAGTGCAGCCAATCAGGGCTGGCGGGGAAGGGCGGGATCTCTTTGCGTCGTGCTCGTTCCGGGGTCTGGGCCGCTGGAGCTGCGGCGAGACTGGAAGAATTTGGTTGCGGTTGCCGACTGGGCACAGCGGCTTCGTGCTACCCGCGCCCTGCTCGGCCAGTGGCCCCTGCCCCCTTCCCGGGCGCCTCCTGCCCCTCTTTTCTGGGGGTGGGGGAGGTGCCCGCTGGCGGCATCAAGACCCTTAGGCGGTGTGTAGATGGGCATCTCCCGACACGCCCAGCTCGCACCTCCCACCCCTGCTGGGGGTAGGGCTCCTGCCTGAGGGGCTCCCTGGCAACCGGGCTGCGCGACCTGTGCTGCCACCAGCCCTTCTCTCGCCTTGGGGGTATGGGGGTGGATCTCCTTGTTTCTCTCCCTTAGCTACGCTAGGGGTTGGGAGCCCCGGGGCCCGCTAGGCGTGGGGTGGCTCCTGCCCCCGGGGCCCGCTAGGCGTGGGAAAGATGTCGGAGGCAGTGCTGTTGCTGCGGCGGGTGCGGGAGCGCAGCAGTGAGGGGGCCACGGGGGCCCGGAGAAAGCGGAGCAGGCGGCGCCGTTTCTACCCTGAGCACCGGGTGTACCGCGCCCGCAGCTCCTTCCTGGACCTCAGCGAGGAGCAGGTGCTGCGGCGCTATCGTCTGGACAAGGCAGCTATTGCGGGGCTCTGCAGCGAGCTGGGCTCTGACCTGGAGAGCCTGACAGGTCGCAGCCATGCCCTGCCGGTGGCCGTCAAGGTGACCTCAGCCCTTACCTTCCTGGCTTCAGGCTCCTTCCAGACAGCCACACGGGACACTACAGGCATCAGCCAGTCAGCCATGTCCAACTGCCTGGCCCAATTCCTGGAGGCACTGCAGCGCCGGGCTGCCCGCTACATTACCTTCCCCGTCCCAGTCCCCACGGCAGGGCATGCTGAGGGCCGCTTCCCTGGGGTGCTGGGCCTGCTAGGCAGCATGCATGTGGCGCTGCGGGCCCCCTCAGAAAATGAGCTTGCCTACCGCAATGCCCGCAACTACCACTCCATGAACATGCAGGTGGTGTGTGATTCCCATGGCACCATCATCAACGTGGTGGCCAAGTACCCTGGCTCCTGCCCCAACGCCGCCGTGCTGGAGAACTCTGCCCTGGCTCGGCTGCTTGACGGAGCCCGGCTTGACGGGCTGTGGCTGCTGGGTGAGTCAGGACAGACAATGATGCTCTGGGGGGTGGGCAACCAGAGAGGCCTCTCCATGGTGGAGCAGCCCCCTGACCCTGTTCACCGAACATAGTGATCCCTCACGCCCGGCACCTGGCGGGATGATCTGTATCTCAGCATGACTGACAATAGGTAAGAAGGATGGTCCAGGGAATAGGGTGCTGAGTTCAATTCACCACTCTGCCACTTACCTGCTGTGTGACCTTCAGCAAGTCACTTAATCCCACCCTGTGCCTGTAAAAGGGACTTCTCTGCCTCATGGGGGTATGTGGGTAAAATGATGAGGTGCTTGGACACTCCACTGGCAAGGTTCATCTAGAAAGATAAGAGCTGTAACTGCTCCCAGTGTGAATACGGAGCAGACTTAGACCCTGGTAAGTACTTAGCACACAGGTACCTTTCAGCCTATGAACAGTCCATTGGCTGTAATGGGACTAGTTAACGTATTTAAGAATGTGCGAAGATGAAGATCTAAACTATGTGTGGTCTTTAACAGCGCATTATGGGGCTGGGGTGGGAGTGCTTTGGTTTCATTTCCCCTAAAGAAAGGTGGGAGCTCAGATTCCAAAGGCCTGGGGGAGTCTGTGCTAACATATTTCTTTTATCCTCCTTCTGTGCCTGCAGGAGACCGAAGTTACCCGCTGAAAACATGGCTCATGACTCCAATTTTATTCCCATGTAGTCCGGGAGAGGAGAAGTACAATGCCATGCACCAGGAGGCCCTCTCGGTGCTCAAGCAGACATGCACCCTCTTGAAAATGCGTTTCCGCTGCCTGGATAAATCAAGTGGCTCCTTGCAGTACACCCCCCAGAAAGTCTGCCAGATCTTCCTGGCCTGCTGTATCCTGCACAACATCGCCCTGAGCCGCAGGATGCCCTTAGACCTGGCAGAGGGGGAGGAGCTGGTGGAGGGGTCGGATGCTGACCCGGAGCTCCCAGTGCAAACCCCCTTTGTTCAGATCTCCAGTGAGGCCCGGGCAGTGAGAGCGCGAATTGTGCAACGATTCAGAGAGAGCCTGACCTAGAGCAGCATCCTTGTGCTGCACCAGCTGCTTCTGAAACAGCTCTTGGTGGGGAAAAGGACCAGCATGCCAAGTTTTTCCCCTCAGCATCTGGTACAAACCACACACTTCACCCTCTCTATAAGCAGCTGGAACGTATCTTATCCTGGAGCTGGTGGCATTCCCAACACTGACCTGTCCTAGGAAGAGCTGCCAGCAATTCCAGCTTCTGACACAGGATTTCACTGTGGGGATTGCATTTTGTTTAAAAATCTTGGTCTAATTTTTTCCATAGAGTAGTGATTGAGAGGATGGTTCCATGGGCCTGGAAGAAGCTACCACCTTTATGCCCCAGAGCTGTTACTGGGTGTGGACTGGCTGTTCCTGAAGCCAAACTGTACTTGACTCTCACATGTTGTTGCTCTTTTAGTCTAGCTGCGGGTGAGATAAAAAATTCGGCTGCCCATGGATTGCTGCTTGGCTGAAACTGGCAGTTCGGAGTGAACTGAACCCCTCCAATGAAAGGAGAGTAATGAATGGAAGTGGCCTTTATTGAGAGGCAGTGTTTCCTCCTATCCTGAGCAAAGCTGGGGATTGGAACTCCCCAAATCGTCATCCCTGCTCTATCCTTGAGGTGTCCAGCAGCCTTGGCCAAGTTGCCTGTGTAGGTAGGGGTTCTAGTGGTAGTGACTCTTCTAGCCAGGGAGGTAGTGAGGACAGGTTAGTCTATGTTCTGAAAATGTCCAAGCCCCAGCTTGGAAAAGTGTATGCGTGCAGCCTACTGCACTGTAAATTAAGGAGCCCCTTCTCAATGTCACAGACCATCCTGCTTCTGCCTTGTAATTCTTGAGGGCCCTGGCTAATGCCTTCATTTCCAAGGTAGGGTGCTATATGCTGGCAGGAGAGAGGGGTTCTGGCTCTTAGATGGCAGAAACCTCATTTCACCCCCTGTGCTCTGTTGGATGCTCCCTGCGCTCTGGTTCACGAAGCTGGGAATCCAAGGGGGAAGTGGTGAGCAGTGGGTTGGGGACTGAGCTCAGGGCCTGGGGCACATGATTGGGAGAATGGTCTCTGAGTGGAGGCATGGTGGCCCCCTGCTAGGGAGAGGCAGAGGCACAGGCATGATAACATTGGTCTTCAGCATTCTAAAGGTTAACTGTTCCTCACCCACTTTCCAGTGCAAAAGTACTGATTGCCAAGAGATCAGTATGCCCATGCCACTGTGGGGCAGCTTGTGGATGAAGTGGATGCAGGCAATGGGAGACAGCTAGAGCTGGGAGCGATTCGAGTGACACTGGAGAGCGCAGAAGACAGTTGAGGACACATTAATGTTTCTGTGCCCCATTTAAGCTCTTCTGCTTTATTTCACCCCCAGGGGAGCAGAAACCAGATGTACTACCAGGCCCAAGTCAGATGATGGCAACCAGAGTTCTCTCACTCTCAAAACTGGCTACTTGGTTCTCCATCTTAGCATGCAAAGCACCTGCTCTGTGCGATCCAGTCCTTGTTGCAGGTGATGCTCCCTGCAGCATAGAGGAGGAAACTATTTTTTGTGAGGGGAAAATAAAGGTATTTTCTTAGAAATGTTTGGGTTGTTCTTGTTAAAGGAGTGTCTGGAGTAGAGAGGGGGGAGGCCAGAACCTGCATTTTATGCCTGGCTCTGACAGTGAGTCACTGCACCCGCTTGCTTAATCTTTGCTTGCCCATTTGTAAAACTGACTGTCCTCAGAAGCTGGATGCTCCATCCATCGAGCTGTATAAATGCAGACTTACTTTCTTGGTGGAGTTTGCACCTAGGCACATTCCACCTGTCCATCTACACCACTCTATGCGGGCCTCATCCTTCCCTTGTATATATATTATTTCCCCTGCCTGTCTCCATGTGGTTACTCATTAGGAACATAAGAACAGCTACAATATATCAGATGAGAGAATCCCTCTAGCACAGTATCTTGTCTCTAATAGTGATCACTACAAAAGGAAGGGCCAAGAAATCCTGCTGTGAGGGGATAACCTGTCCTCCTGAGCCATTCTCTCCTGACCTCAAGAGTTAGTGGTTGATAAATGCCCCGATGCAGGACTGTTTGGATCCCTTCTGGAACTCGTGGAGATTCCCTTTAGCCATATACTGTCCAACCCCTTTATGAATGCTGCTAAGTTGTTCGCCTTGATGATGTCTTGTGGCATTGAGTTCCACAGGCTAGGGTGTAGGAATGGCCATTGGCTGGGCTGTACGGTGGCCCATGTGTGTACCTGCAACTGAGCTGAGCGCCCAAGCAGTTGGATAGCCTGGCCAGCAGCTGGAGCTTGCAGCCTGATCTGTAAATGTGAGGTGCTCTTATCGCCAGCTATGAGAAATAGGCAGTTATTAAGTGCTACCCACAGGTAGCTTTCCCTGCACTGTGGGATATAGAAGTGGTGTCTCCCTTACTAATGCCATATGAGAAGGCACCAAGGTGCCTCTGACACAAGGGAACGCTGCAGCCTATCCCTGTCCTTGTGAAGCCAGGGTCCCATCCAGCTCATTTAGCCAGTGGGAATCTTCGCCAGCAAAGTCAGCTGTGGATGCTGTGTGCTGATTCTCTGCTACAGTGGATGCCTCTCTGGGGCAAGGCTGCATGGCCTAGTGGATAAAGCAGTGGACTGGGACTTGGGAGGTCACTGGCCTGCTGGGTGACATTGGGCAAATCACTTCCTCTCTCTGTGCCTATTTTCCCTTCTGTAAAATGGGGATAATACTGATCTTTGCAAAGTGCACAGATGAATAGTACTGTGGGATTGCTGTCATTAAAGCTGAAGGATGGTCTCTGTTTTAAGTTGGATGAATTCATATCTGGGGCTGTAATTTTCCAGGCTTAATCTGTCCCTACAGGTGACTTTAATAGTTTGCAGCTGATGTGGTTGTGCCATTTTGAATAGGGTATGGAGGGGTTAATAGATATTTTCCATAATAAAATATTATTGCTCCCTATGTTGAAAAAGTCCCCTTCAGCTGACACTGGGCAGGTGACATTGGGTCTGGGAAGAACCCTCACTGCAGAGCATGATCTTGTGGCGGAAGACATTGGGTTGGAGTGACTTCCAAGTATTCAGGCAGTCTGGTTTTGGCTGCCTATGAGGGTTGGTCTACACATGGACACTCTGGAAAGCTGAATTAACTGAAGGAGTGAAGTGGCCTTAGTTTGCTGTAGCTCAATCTTCCTTCAAAGCCGTGCTGAGCTGTGATATCTGGGCTGACTCCCAACTCTTCTTTCTCCAATGAATTTCCAGTTCCAATCCCCCCCCGCACTGAGGAGATGTGGGTACCATTTTTATAGCTGTGTTAGGTGGTCCCAGGCCCACTGGGTTCACTGATATGAAGTCCAGAAATGCCCAGTTGGATCATACAGTCCAACTCCTTGAACTGTATAATGTAGGCTGAAGAATCCCAACAAGCTCATTGCTTGTACCTACCATTACACTGACCAAGTTCCTCCTGCCCACTCTGGGCCTTTTAGAGAACGTTGGCCCTTCAGAGAACAAACTCCCTAGGGCTGGGCTTTGCAAAACCTGACTGCTCCCATTACAGTCAGCGTGAAAATATCACTGATGTAAGTGGGAGCAGAGTTAGGCCAACGCTGAGTGTTTTGCACCCCATCTCTAGGGGGTTTATGGCCCAAAATAACTTGGTTTGTTTTCCCTCCCTGCATCATTCCTTCTCCCTATATGTCCCCTACTCCAGTGAATCCTCTCTCTCCCCCCATCCCAGTTCCCATCCCTTCCTGCATGGTGTTCCATACTTCCTCACAATTTCCTTCCCACCTTCTGATGGAATGCTCTGTCTCCCCTTCCCTCTTCTGGCTGCTGCATTCCACCTTGGGTGCTCCAAACACTGGCATCTGCCTCCCTGAGCCCAGCTTTGCTCCCTGGATTTTCTACAAGGATAGGCGTGTGAGTGATGCTGCTCTAAGCTGTGTACGCTGAGTCCAGAACAGATGCACCAGCCAGTAATGGATCCAGGGAATAATTAACTGCTCTGGCTTTGTAATGTATTTATTGCTCGTTTGGCACTTCCCTCACCCTCTTCTGATGATTCTCCATCACAGGGTGACTACAGAAGATCCTTACTTTGGCCTGGCAAGATCAGAGAACTGTCCCCATTGAGTCATTTACCCAGATGATCCGTTTTCCTTTGCACATTACTGGGATGGGGGAGAGAATCCCACACTGCTGCCTACCTGAGCCAGTGGAGGTAGCTTCCAAAGCCTCGCCTCTCTCCCCGTTTCTTTTGCCAGGGCACCAGCACGGCGTTCCTGCTGCAGCCAGTACAACATCTCCACTTTGTCCCACCGCATCTTCTCCAAGTATGGGCGGCCCTTGAAAGTCACAGTGTCATGGAACCTCTCCTTGATCTGGGGCAGAATGATGTAGAGGTCGGTGTCGCACTGGGCGATCGCTGCATACAGGCGGCCTCTGGTCCTCGACTCCCAGGTGCGTGTGGCAAAAGACTCAAGGCTCCTTTCAAAGAAGCGGTTTGGGTCAGAGGCGGTTTGCTCAAACTTCTCCAGCTCTACCAGCAAGAGCTCCCGTTCCTGGATACTCTTTGCTGCTTTCTCCCAGGCTTTGAGCATAGCTGGGAGCTGAGCATAAGACTGATTGGAGCTGTACTTAATCGCCATATCAAGCCTCTCCCTATCAGGGAAATGAAGAACTTCCCAGAGTCTCTCCAGTCGCTTCTGCAGCACTCTGAGGTCTTCAGGCTTACGGTCCTGGTCCTCAAAAGTCCCAAGCCCGCCAAGCATGATGGTGTTTGTGTTCCACATCCCAGGCATGTACTTCTCTCTCTTTGAGCGGATCTCTGCCACTTTCCGTTTTACCTCTCTCAGTGCTTCCTCCAACTGTTTCTTTTGGGCTTCATCTATGAAAAGTGGCTCCTCCCCCTCATTGTACAAATGAAATATCACATGCAGGTAATCAGACTCCTTGGTGGAGACATATTTCAGGTAGTCATCGGCGTTGAGGGTGGATTTCCACCACTGATACCAGGTGGTTTTTTGTTTACGGGCAATCACGAGGGGCAAACTTGATTGCACTGGTGTAGTGACTTTCTGGGTGCTGAACGGTCCAGCGGGCAGCAGCTTATTCAATTCTGTATTGATTACCTGCTCATTTTTCCTTTTGGTCAGTGTGGAGGAAGCCAAGCTGTTGGATAAGTCCACGTTCACAGCTGCAGGCTCTATCAAGGGTCCTTGGTCAAATCTCAGATACTCTGTGGGGATGATTTTTATCAGTTCCTTGTAAATTTCCCGGATCTCTTCCCCAGCTGAGAGGTTTGCATCCAGGTAACTCACTGTAGCAGTATCAATCTCTCCCAGAAGATCATTGTACAAGGGGCCATCTCTCTGAATAGCCACAGAGTCAACAAGTGCTCTGTTGGACACTTGTAGGTCAGCTGCCTTTGCTACCATGCCATGGTGTATTTGAAGATTCACCGTGGCAGCTTGAGGGTGAGTGGGTGGTGCAAAAACTACCATATCTCTCAGCTGTTGCTCAGCCATCTCCTCTTCTTGGAGGCATCTAAGTGTCTCCTGAAGCTGCTGGAGTTTGGTTACATTGGCTCTGTGTCGTGTCAGTGCTCCAATGATGGGAGGCAGTTCTGCGTCCTCACTCTCATCTCTTCTGCTACCACTTCTGAGGAGGGAGCCTTGAACTAGCTTGCGAAGGTCCTTGGCTATGGCCATGGACTCTTCAAGATTGCCATCTGTTGCTGACTCAGCATAGTGACTGGGCACTATCGGTGTGAGGGGGCGAGGGGGAAGATGGATCCCAAGTTCATCTGAGAGGAGTTGCCCGGCTCTCATATTGGGCAATGAATGACTTTTTTTGGAAATGGAGCCAGCCTCATGCCTGACCCTCTTTGTGACTTCCTGATCTTCTGAAGCAGGGGTACAGGAGCAGGGGGTTCTCACTGCTACACATGGCAGGTTGGTAAAGCAACTGTCAAAAGTCTCTACATTAGGGATCAAGTGATGGACTCTGCTTAAGTCCAGTGGGGGTATCTCCTCGAGTTCTTTGATATCCTTTGCGATTTTCTGCCTGCATGTCTGCAGGTGGGGCCTGGTCAGTTTGATGAAGTGAGTCATGGTGAGGCCGAGGCGGCAGCCCACAGTGCTTCTGGCTGAGTGCCGGCCTCTCTGTGGTGGCCATTTTCGCTCTGGCCGAGCTGGCTTACTGTCAAGAAAAAAGTGGTTCTGCGGGGTCTTCAGCTCTGCAATGAGATGGCGCTGGATGGCAGCCATATTGAGGAGACTGGAGCAGTCCAGAGAGAGCTGGGCTGCGAAGCGGGTGAGGTTGGCATAGTCAGTGAAGACAGCCATGCCCCGGTGGAGCTCCATCAGGCAGAGATAGTGGAAGAAGAGGTGTTCAGAGACAAGTGTGATGTATGACACCAGATGCTGGTATAGGTCCTTGTTCTGCCAGCTGCTGAGGGCTGGGTTGGAGAGTGAGTGACTGGCATCCTCCCAGGCGAATTTTACTTCTGCCAGGATGATCTCCTTGAAGACCTGTCCTGCCTGGCTGGAGATGGGCAAGGACTCCCTGCCCAAAGAAAGGCGCCCTTCAATCAACTGGGTCAGAGCAGCTAGGGAAACGGGGATAGAGAATGCAGGCACTGGAGTCTTTAGGGAGCCAGCTGGTAGCGTGTGGCTAGTCTCCGGGGTGCTGGGAGGCTCGGCAGAACTAGTCTCCTGTGTACCATGGAGCTGGGGGCTGGGTGGGGGTGGGGCTGGGGTGGGCTGTGAGGCTCCTGGGGGCCCCTTTGAAGGAGGCTGGAAGAGGGAGAGCGGGGCCAGGATGTCCTGGTAGACCTGGTGCAGCGTCTGGGTCACTTCCTCCGTCTCCTCCAAGGCATAGAGATCCCAGGAGGAGCCAGCGCGGGGCATGACGGACACGCCCGCTCAGGGGCCCAGAGAGGACTCTGACCCTCGGCCTCCCAGCAGCCTCTCGTTCCCGGCTCCCAGCCCACGGGGGGAGGCAGGCCTCTGGGCTCACCTCAACCCCCAGCCGCTGCGTCCTAATCCCGGGGCTCAGCCCGGCCCTTGCTCGCCACTTCCCGGCTCAGAGCCTGGAGGGCGTCTCAGCAAGCAGAGTTTCCATGGTAACAGCGCACCGGAAATAGCTCGTGCCTTCCCTGCGAGATCTTTGGTGGGGCTCGGCGGCCGCTAGGCGGCGTCTCAGCTTCTGCCAATCAGACTGGCGGTCGGAAGTGTCGTTACCGGCGCGTTTCCTGGAAACGAGTCCGGTCCGGGCGGGCACAGCTGAGGGACAAACGGGAGCGAGCGATGGAGGCGACGCCAGGGCCTGGGGAAGCAGGGGGCCCCAGCTGCCGGGTAAGGAGACTCCGCAGCGGGGAAGCTGGGTTGTGCCTCTAGGAGGCAACGTGCCGGGGCGAGGCGGGGAGGGTTCTGTTCCTGGCTCTGCTGCTGATATTGGGCAAGTCCCTTCCCCTTTGGTACCTGTGTTTGTTTGCACTGCAAAGCTCTTCCGAGCTTAATCAAAGCTGAGCTGGGATCGTCCCACTGCCAGGAGCCCGGGGCACGCCAAACAACATGAGACTCGTGATAAGATCTGTCCTCAGAGTTGTCAACGCTTGTAGGTGGGGGAACATAGTGCCCAGTGTGTGTTTTGGGAGGATAGTGAGAGTCACGGGGGCATGCTGGGGGTGGGGGAGGTACACGTCTTGAGGGTTAAGTCCCCTGCGTATATGCCTGGAGAAGAAAGAAATTGTGTGCCGTGGTGGAGGGAATGAGAGACAGTCCCTTTCTGGAGGACATATGCCTCTGGGGCAAAGTCCCCTGTGTAAGGGGTAGCAAGGAGAGGGATGAATGGGGCAGAACACAAATATCTTGTGGGTGGACCAATGAACATGGGGGGCAAAGTCACCTTATGTATGAGCACGTGTGGCACAATGCAGAATCCCTGCGTGGGAGGGATTGAGAGAGGGGAAGTTGCTGGAGATGAGAAATCCAAACTGCCCAATGTAGGGAGGATTGTATAGCTGTAGGGTATGAGGTGGTTGGTTTAGCTTCCTTTAGGTGGGGGGCAATTCTGGAGAGAACAGGAAACCCCCCTCTGCTGGTGTGAACATGCTGGGTCAGACCAAAGGGAATGAACAGAACAGGTAATCATCAAGTGATCTACCCCCTGCCACCCATTCCCAGCTTCTGGCAAACAGGCTAGGGATACATCCCTGCCCATCCTGGTTAAGAGCCATTGATGGACCTCTCCTCCATGAACTTACCTAGTTATTTTTTGAACCATGTTCAAAAGAGGTGTTGTAGTTATGGGCCAGGGGAGGGGTAGGGCTGATGGATGAGGACTGCCAAGGTGGGGAGTTGGGTTGGTTTCCATGACAAACCCTGTCTCACATGCCTCCTAAAATCAACCAGCTGGAGTTTGCAGTGCAGATGAACTGCCAGGAATGTGTGGATGCCGTGCAGGCCTCTCTGCAAGGAGCAACAGGTGAGATACGCTCCAGCCCTCCCATTCCCCATGACAGCTGCTGTGGGCTCCTGCTGTTTTCACCATGCCAGGGCTTTTCCTGCAGGACTCCGGGTGCTGGATATTCGGCTGGACTCTCAGACTGTGCTGGTGGAGACCAGCATGAGTGCTGGGAAGGTGAAGGACCTGCTGGAGAGCACAGGCCGCCGGGCTGTGCTGAAGGGCATGGGGAGCAGTGAGCCACGTGAGTATGGAGTCCCTGGGTCATAGCCTGAAAGGAACAGGAGGTAGCATGGGGTAGCGGCTAGGAGTTCCAGTCTATTGCTGTGGGTTCTATTCCTGGCTCTGCTGCTGGGCAAATCCCTTCCCCTCTTGTCATTGTGTTTGGCTCTTTATGCTGTGAGCTCGTCAAAGCAGGGGCTGCTTCACACTGTGTGTCTATGCTGCACCTGAAACGGGGGGAAGGGCATGTGGTGTCTGGTATGTCGGGGGCCCCGATGTAAGATGGGTGCCTCTATATGATCTATCTGTGTAAGGTAGTTTTATGATCCTCATCACTGTAGTATTTGGGTGCTTCACAGTCTTTACTGTATCTACCCTCACAGCTTCCCTGGGAGGCAGGGCAGTGCTATTAGCCTCTCTGTGTCTCAGTTTCCCGATAAGGGACTTACCCAGTGTCAAACAGGGAAACTGGAAAAAGAACAGGAGTACTTGTGGCACCTTAGAGACTAACAAATTTATTTGAGCATAAGCTTTTTTTTGCTCAAATACATTTGTTAGTCTCTAAGGTGCCACAAGTACTCTTGTTCTTTTTGCAGATACAGACTAACACAGCTGCTACAGGGAAACTGGGGCAGAGCAAGGACTTGAACCTGGATCTCCCAAATCCTAGGCTAGTGCCCTAGCCCCTGGGCCATACCATAATACACAGAACGGTCCCCAGTTCCATTATGCTGAGTGGCCAATATCTTCCCCTTCCCTAAACAGCCTGTGCTGTGTTTCATCCTCTCAGCTGCTCCTCAGGGAGTTCTTGGACACTGGTGCTGCTCTGCTTGCTGTGCTGTCTGGCAGCAGGAGCTCCCCTACATCTTGGTTGGGGAGGGGAATGCGGGCGGCTGTGACTGTCTGTGTCCACCTGACTTTGCCCTCCCTTTTAGAGAACCTCGGTGCAGCTGTGGCCATGATGTCAGGCCCCTGCCTCGTCCAAGGGGTGGTTAGATTCCTGCAGGTCTCCCCAGAGAAGTGTCTCATTGAAGGGACCATTGATGGTCTGGAGCCAGGGTTGCATGGGCTGCACGTCCATGAATTTGGGGATGTCACGAACTCCTGTGACAGGTAAGAGTCCTCTCCCCTGCAGAGAGGTGTTGCTGTCCAGTGTAGCAAGCTGGGGTTTGCAAAGGTACTTAAGGGAAATGAGTGCCTCCCAACTTAATGTCATTTAGTGTCAAGATTCCCATTTAACAGATGGGGAAACTGAAGCATTGAGAGACAAAGGGAGGGACCTTCCTAAGGTCAGTGGCAGAGCCTGTAATAGAACCCAGGGCTCCCAACCCAGTGCCCTCTTCATTAGGTCCTCCATTTTTCAGCAACTGTGAAGAGTGCATCTGATGACACTAGTTCAGTGAGATTGGCCTGTGTCTGGGGGAGGCACGTAGACAGTCACAGCAAGAGGACACGAGCTGTGAGGGGGGTGAGGCTGTTTCCCTGTTCAGCTCCTTCCCCTTTGGCCAGTGCACATTCCAACCCTATGTTGAAATGTAGAGTAGAGCAGGTAGCCGGCCAGATCTCTCTGGAGGCTGTGGTGTGAGGCCTCTGCACTAGGTCATCCTGGCTTCCTTTTTTGTTTTGTTTTTTTCCCCAGTTGTGGAGACCATTTCAACCCAGATGGGAAGCGTCACGGGGGCCCGCAGGATGCACACAGGGTAAGTTCTGGTCATGTTTATGCATTCTGCCCTCACGGTCAGTGCTGGCCCCAGTGCCCTTTGGCGACGCTAGCGGGCGCAGTGCTGCAGGGAGAGGGGTGAGTGCCTCTGGGGAGGGTGCTCTCCTCTCAGTCAATGCTCACTCCAGTGTGATGGAAGGGGTGGCTTGCTGTGCTGCATGGAGCTGGGGACTCAGTAGGGCACTCTCCTCTTAGTCAGTTCTGCGGGTGACTGGGGGAGAGTGGGTGACTTGATAGGGGATGCTCTTCTTTGGCGGTCAGTACTGACCCCAGTGTGGTGCTGAGGAGGCATGGGGGTTGACTCAATAGAGGGTAAGCCAGAATGAAACAGTCAATCACCTGTCCAAAGACAGCAAAGACTTCAAACATTGTAGTTCTCCAAGAAAAGGCACCTTTTCCAGTCCTCAGGCTGCCACATTCCTGCCTCTGCTGCTCTTGGGGACCTCTGAGCAATGGTCTCCATTTGCATGCCCACATTAGTTGGCTCTCACTTTGCCATGTGGGGCCAGACACAGCCTGGCTTTGAAACAAACTAAACTGAAATACTTGTCCAACACAGCCTGATCACAGCCCACAGAGTTGTTATCCACCCCCTTGGAAAATACCAATTGTTGTTTTCTTTGAAATTTTGAAAAACAAACATTTCCCCCCAAAATCTTTCCATAAAACCGTAAACAATTTTGGTTTTCAAAAACCGTTTTTGGTTAAACATAAGGTTTTGGGGCCATTTCTTTGTCAGTATTCCAGAAAGTTTCAACCCAAATATTGGTTTTGGTTGAAAAGCTAGGTTTTTTTCAGAAAAGAATTTGAGTGAAGAAAATTCGCTCTGCTCTTGCTGTGTTTGTGGTTCGAGTCAAAGTTCCCAGGGTCTGACTGTGTGGGTGGATGCTCTGTTCCAGCATCTCGGAGACCTTGGCAACGTGCTGGCTGGCAGCAATGGAAGAGCAGACTTCCGGATGGAGGACACCCGGCTAAAGGTGAGGTCCCCTGATCTGCACAAGGGATCGCTGGGGAGACACCAGTGGGAGCTGTGTCAGATTAGGGCATATTGAGGGATCCTACTGTTCCTTTCAGAAAGGCATCACTACAGTGGATCAGAACAGCGAGCCCATCCAGTTGTCCCACAGCTGCTTCAGAGGAAGGGGCTCTCAACCCTCCATTAGGCTTTGATGGGATAACCTCACCCAAAGGAACATTCCTCCTGACCCCATTTGCTAGGGGTAGACTCCTGCTGTGAAACAAGAGGGATAACTCCCTTCCTCAGCTCCAGGTTCTCTAATATTATAACTCCGGACACTTGATAGAGATGAGAATGTCTGATCCTTTTATGAATCCTACTAAACACTTTTGCTCTTAGGGATATCATAGGAACAGAGGAACTGCCTGAATAGCTCAGACCCCAGGGCCATGTCGCTCAGGATCTCTTCTTCCACAGGGCCCAGCACCAGTTGCTTCAGAGGAAGGTCTGCCTCCAGTAGCAGATGTGGGATATTCTGACCCCAAACACTAGGTCTCACCCTGGTCTCTAATAGTTAAACTAGTCAGAACCCTGAAGCAGTAGGTGTAATATCCCAGGTGGGAAGGGGGGAGCACAAAGAGCATGTAGCAGTTCGGGGCTGCCTTTGCTTTCCCCTCTTCTAGTCAAAACCTTCCGTCAGCTGCTCTCCTGGGAACTGCAGGAGTGGGGTCTCATCTTCCCTCCAAACTCACCCCCCTCCAGCCGATGGGCCACCCACATGGTGCAGTGGGACAGGGAGCCGAGCTCCTGGGGAGGGGCAGAGGCTGAGATGGCAGCAGTCGAAGGGAAGCTAGGGCGCAGGGATGGGGCATTGTTCCCTGAGAGCTCCTTTAGAGCTGATTGCACTTTCCCTGGCTCCAGGGCGCAAACCCCTCTCCAAGCTGTGCCTGGATGCACTGGTTCTCATCATGCAGAAGGCCCTTCCCAGGACTGTAATGGCCTCTGCCAGGGGAGCTGGGGATCCACACATGCAACAGGGATGGCCAAAGGCTGTGATCCTTCCTAGGTCTGGGACATCATCGGCCGCTCTCTGGTGGTGGATTCTGGTGAGGACGACCTTGGCCGTGGGGGTCACCCACTCTCTAAAGTCTGTGGGAACTCGGGTGAGAGGTGAGGAGCCAGGGGGAAGAAGCAGGAACCAGGGGAGTAGCTCAAGGCAGCATCTTGCTGGCACAAATACTTGGGGGTCAAGCTGACTGTCAGACCGGGCAACAGCATGGAGGAATGGGATCAACTGTGAGCATGGGAGGAAGGATGGCTTAGCCTAAGGGAGCTATAGGAAGTTGAGGGGGGTCAGTCTCTCTTCCTCCCCTTCCCCCTCCCGCCAAAGGGGCATGAGGCAAGAGTGGGATCCGCAGGTATGGTCAAAGGAGGGGTTAATGCCTCTTTATTGTCTTAGTACAGCTTGCCTCTTGCACTGTAACAAGTAAGATGTGTCTGGTCTTGCCTGACCTTTGGGCAAATGGTCAGGTCATGGGGCTGCCTATTTAGTCTGCAGGGGCTGGAGCCCCTGGCAGCACAGCATCTGCTAATGCTCCCTCCCTCCCTTCCAGGCTGGCCTGTGGGATCATTGCCCGATCTGCTGGGCTGTTCGAGAACCCCAAGCAAATCTGCACCTGCGATGGCGTGACGCTGTGGGAGGAGCGGGAGAAGCCAGTGGCAGGGCCAGCCAGGAGGAAGCTTGGCCAGCCCGCCCCTCACCTGTAGGATTATAACTTTCCTTTCTCCACATTGTGCCTACTGGTTGTTGCTCTATGCCGGGGCTCAGTGTGTTTCTAACATCAAAGGGGTGGCACTTTGGGCCTGCGGTATAGGAGATCTGACGTGAGCTTTAGGTGGGGACTGGACTTCTCCACAGCGTCCCCGTCTCATACCACAGTCTCGTTCTTCTATTGCCAACCTCTGAGCAGTTTCGTGTCCTGACCCTTCCCCAGCTGGGTGCTCCTAAACTTGCTGCAGACGATGTCTCATTTTATAGGGGAGCGGTAAATAGGCTCTGCAGTTTTTTGCTGCTTTGGGTTTTGAAAAGGCAGAAAAAAAACTTTTTTATTCCCCCCCCCCCCCCCCTGCTTATTTGTTCCTTTTTAAAGTGCAGGGATATCAAGGGTGGTTTTGCTGGGGGAACTAGAAAAAGGGGAGGCAGGGAGCTTGGGAGTTCTCTTGTGATCACTTTTGCACTAAGTAGATGGGTGGGGGGGGTTTGAATCTTTAATAATAAAATATTAATAATCACTAGTTCATATCTGGCACTCTGAACCAGCATATCACCAAGCATTTTACAAAGGGGTTTAGTATCATCTGCATTTTACATATGAGGAAACTGAAGCACAGGGGGGAAGTGATTTGCCCAAGGTCACCTAGCAGGCCAGTGGCAGAGCTGGGTTTAGAACCCAGGTTTCCTAAACTAGTGCTCTTTCTGCTAAGCCACATAAACAGATAGGACATTGTCCACAGAGGGCATTAGTCGCTGGAGTTACATAAGTATCTACAGGAAACCTGCAAAGGTTTCTTTGAGCTCAGGATCAAAGTCCCTTGCTGCTCTGCTTGCCCCAGACTGTTTTGGGAAATCTGTCTGGCAGTAGCCAAGGTTGCAAGTGCTGTGGATTGCATGCACTGCAAAAGAGGAGAAGGTGCTGAGCTACCTATGCCTGACAAATGTTTCTAGATAGCTCCAGCCTGAGCATAGGCAGCCAGAGAGGAGGGTCTGGGTTAAGTTGTAGCCTGTTTTCCATTTAAAATCAGCTGTGGAGGCAGAGATGACTTTAAGTATCTTTCATGTGCACTGAATCTGCCATTAAATAATATTTTCCTACTGTCACCCTGCTGTCTTGCTGCCCAAGGTGGTCAGCTTGCATTGTGGTGGTGACCAGTCCTCAGGCACCTACTGTGCAAGATGCTGTATAAATGCAGAGGCACATCCCCTCTGGGATAGGTTCTGGGGCTGGGTGGCAGATGCCTTGGAGGTGGGGGATTTGGGAAAGGGGGATCCCTAATCCCCCAGCAGGAGAGTGGGGAGATCTCACTCACCCAGCTGGGGGGAGGGAGTTGGGGATGGAGTAGTTCTCGTGACAGAAAAAGAACATGATGCGGTCACTGGGTGTGGACGCAGCCTGCCTATCACCGTGCCGTAGCCTGAGGGCGAGAGGGAGCACTCTGCACGTGGGTGGCGGGAGCACCATTTTGTTTACTGGCGAGTTAACGCAAGGTCGGGCGTTGCGCATGTGCCCGGAGGCCCGGATAGGTGCATTCGTCACTACGCAAGGGAAGGGAGATGCCGGAAATACGCAGGCGCGCTAGGGCCGGTGGCGCGGATTGTGACGGATGTAAAACTGGTTACAGGCGGTTGGGGCTCAAGTGCGCAGGCGCAATGACGTTGCTAGGAGAAGAGCAGAGGCGCGGATGGAGAGGCAGGAGTGCGCAAGCCAACAGTAGCACGCAGGCGCGGCGTTAGCCGAGTGCCTCTCTTCGCAGGCGCAGTTGCTCGTAGGCGGTGGCATTCAGCGCGCTGCGCAGGCGTGTCAACGGCCGGGTGGTGCCTTCCTCTTTCCTTCCCATCTGAGCGTTCGGAGGGTTTGAGGTGCTGCCGCCATTTTGTCAGGCGTCCCGGTGCCAGCTCGGCCGCGGCCATGCGTCCCGGAGTGAAGCTGTTCGTGGGGAACGTGCCCGAGGAGGCCACGGCCGAGGAGCTGGGCGAGCTGTTCACGGGCGCCGTGGGCCCGGTGCTCGGCGTGGCTCTCATGAAGCAGTTCGCCTTCGTGCACCTGCGGGATGAGGCGGCCGCTGTCCGCGCCATCGCCCAGCTCAACGGGCACCAGCTGCACGGCCGCCGCATCGTGGTGGAGCCGTCCCGCCCGCGGCCCACCAACACCTGCAAGATCTTCGTGGGTAATGTTTCGGCGGCCTGCACCAGTGGAGAGCTGCGGGCGCTCTTCCAGCAGTACGGGCCCGTGGTGGAGTGCGACGTGGTGAAAGGTACCGACCCCCCGGGTTCCCTAATATCCCCCTTTCCCGGTACCGGCCCGTGGTGGAGTGCGAC